AATCGAACCTAATTACACATATATGATGGTGTGGATTTTTTTATATTCATTGAAAGTGACGTGTCGGCACGTAACGAACGTATTGATAACTTGATGTTCGCAGGATCGATCGAGCTACTGGCTCGAGACCAAAGTCCTTTTGCGGTCAGATGTGCAAAAAGGACGTAGAAAAAAATAATTCATCTAACCTCCCATAAGGTCGCTGTTTGTAGACTTATCCATAAAAATTAGAGGAATAATTTTTGTTAAAAACAAAACCAGCTGGAGAAACTAGGTACAATAATTTTTCTTGAGTCAGTAAAAACGCAAACATATGAAAGGCTTTATTATTTCTGTAATATATGCATTTTTAACATCGATCGCGAAACCACTTTATAGAGATAAGTCAAGTTGAAAAACTCTTTTGTCGGCAACAGATCCGTGACCTCACTGGCGTGACAATAAACGTTATGGCACACTTTCATTCAACACCTGTTTACTAACCGCTTTGGCCATCTTGACGCGTCGATAGTGCGCCGAAAACAGTATTCTACTACAGAATAAATGCTACGTTCTTTTTACACTATCATATATTAACAGCTTGATTTCCATTGACGGAAATAACTGTAAAACGATTTGCCGAGAATTTTTTTTCCGTTACCATTGCGAGACTCTGGAAGCTCCTAGTTAGCCTTCTTTCCCGTTTCGAATTGTACCTGTTGCGAAGCTCATGTATATCTGTGATAGGGTAGGAGCTACAATATTCGAAGCGAAGCTGAGTGCGGAGTGCGCGATTCTGAAACGTTTTAGAACCCGTAGCTGATATATAAATGTATTTTATCCCCCTGTCAGTGAGAAACATACTAAATGCTATTCGATTAGTGTCCTACGTACGATCTTAAGCTCACGGATTAACGGATAGCTCATTTCATCTTCGAAACAGCTTCGAGCCTACCTCCGCCTTAATAAATTGGCGTTGTGTGGTTTCGTACCGCCTTAGTCAATCCCTAACGCGATCCGTTGACAAAACAACTACCAGACACGCGCGCTACGACAACTGTTACCCTACCATGTTCACCTTCTCTTTATAACCGTACTCTCGCCCTGTGAGCCTATTGTGTATCGGTCGAAAAACTTCGAACTCTAATTTGGACGTATGTTGAGGCGCACGTCGGGAACTTTTTCAATGACGCGACCGTCTGAGGTAACCGGCAACCGCCACCATGTTTCAGTTGGGTTACCACTACAGAACTTTGCTATGAAAGCCCAGGTTCGTAACGACAATGATAACAGCAACAGCGCAAAAGCGATGACAAGCATTGTTTATCAGTCGCTGACGCCAGTCGTTCTTGATAAAGAGATGAAGCACGTTTCATGCAAACCCTTTTCGCTCGACATGTTAGCGTTAGAACGAGAACACCGCTACCGCTACGCCTATTTAGTAACGGTTCAAAGTGTAATAACTCTGCTAAAATATGAATATTGTGTCGGTTTTTGGCCTCTTTAGGGACATAGGCAAAAAATTGGTATACATAATGCATATAATGACTGCCGTACCGGTCAGCTACGAGAGCGCTTAAAAGCGTTGTGGCTATATAAAAAATAGTCAGGCCAGAAGTGCTCGTATGGCTCTAGCTTGGCAAAAACGTCTGCATAGTCGTGCGACTGAAAGACAAATTGTTCAAACAACTCTAACGAGATAAACGTAGACTCACGTAAAATGAGCATATTCTGTGCGGCTTGGTTCCATTTCAAATATGAGAAGAAAAACGAAGAGAAATAATATTTCCTTGATGACTAACCGTCCATCTGTAAGGGATCAAAGTATCCACATGAAAAAGCCGTCATTTAGAAAACTAAGAGATAAAATCGATCAATCATTTTATCCAGAAGTTGGAACGGCACGCTAGTGATTCAGGCGTCCGATAAGGCGCCTTACTGTATGATATCAGGTATCTCGTTCGGTCAATTAAAGGAATGGCCGGGATAACGTACCTATGCACCATATCATGATGATACCAGCTCACAAAAACTCCTACACATAGCCAACATACGTTGAAGAAGTTATGTTTTTCAATTAAATTAAAATGGGCAGCTGAAGTCGGTGGCAAACAACACCAAATCAGATTAAATCAATCTGAATTTTAGTTTAAAATGTGTACATGTGCCAAAGTTTCTCATCACTATTAGGCTACTGGATTTGCCTTCGGATTTGTATGAATCCAGACCGATATTTTCAAGGGTTCGACTACTTGTTAGACGGGCGAAGGTTGAACTGTGACCGTATATTTCTGATGATCACGCCACTTCGTTCATTTCCTAGCTAAACGTGTCCGCTCCTAGCAATAGGATCTAACACACAAAAGCAAGCAACACCTTTTTCACAAAAGAGACGACAAAAATCGTCGTCGAAATTCGAATAACTATATAATGAAGATATGAAGAATGATGACTCATATATAGATAGATCGGATTTGACCAGGCGAACGGGCAATTATACCCTACTTTACGAGTTAAAAAATGTCTCATCTAGTGAAGGGCCCTTCTTGCTCGAGTCGAAGTTCTATGTTCGTCGTTGGCCCACCAAGAAGTACAACTGTTACCAACCGCTTGTTGCCTGAGGGTACCGTCGTTTACGGCAGCTCGGCTCTCATTTTGATCGATGTGTGATATTTAGGAGGTGCTGGAGTAGTGAAGCCTTACGCTGATTGTAACTAGACGCTTCCCGATTCCGTCTCAGCGCTTACGAGGCGCCGCAGTAAACGGCAAACAAATAATTTTAGCAAAAGTCGGAGCCCATTGATTAGTCGAAACAGCTTCCGCTTTGTTACAGTGCACGCGATTGAACTTTGGCAACGGACGGTGAACTGGCCAGTTGGTCACTATCGCTATCGTCGAAGTGATGAGACGACGCTTCTTTTCGGCTCTATCTAGTATGGAGTAAAGTACTGCTTTACGCTGTATACGCCAGTATCCTATAAAATCCTTATTCTCAAGTAAAACACTTTGGCTGCTAAGCTAAAGGGCGGTAACTACCGCCGAATGGTAAGACTTTCGGTGGCAAGAGCCAAATTTATGACTTTGGGTCAACATAATTTGAATGTTTACTAAAGGCTGGTACAACAACTCTGCTTTTTCACAAGCTGTTGCTATTCCTTCAAGTTTTTTTTTTATTGCTGGAGCAGCAATGCTCTATTTTCAATATTTTCCTCTTTCTTAATACCTTTTGGTTGTTCTTTAAAAGATGTAGCTGTGTCAATATATTTCCTTCCCTCTATGTGCTCATATAAATGTACATAGTTAGCACTTCAAGTATATTCGATAAATTTATCTACATGCAAAGTTACCTTACCAAAATTTAGCGTCTCGTTCAATTATTTTTATCCAATAGAGAGTGCCGCGGCACCAGGTTCAAGAAAAACATATTCAGGAATAGAGACTAGTCAACGTGCGTTGAAACGCACGCTTGGGAACGATATGCTGCCACGTACTGCATGCCGTTTCCCACATTAACTGGCCTAAAACACGATGTCATTTCTATACATATGGGATTCTGTCTGCCTCAGATATCCACGCATGTCGTTCACTTCGTTCGGCCATCGCAGCCAACAGTTTAAATACGAAATAAGAAAAATCGTCCACGGACTCTGATCAGGTCGGTTCAGATCTACTTAGACAGACCAGCTTGTTGTACTTATCGATTGTTTACATGGCGAAACCCTACAAATGCCATTCTGATACAGTACGTGTTGAATATACTATCACAATTCCGTATACGAACTCGTTATGTGGTAATACGTTTACTTTTCTCTCTATTCAATGTTGTGTCAGGAGTGTTTCATATAAAATATCAGCTCCGCTGCAAATATGATCCGATCACGTATTTCCGTAAACGTGTTCAATATGTTTCTGAACTAGAGAATTCGAATCGAACATCCTTAGCACATAGATAATATAGGAAAATTTTACAGTCAAATTCGTTCGCTTAAGGATGCAACAAACTCTGCGATTATGTCTGTTTTTATTATTGTATAGCAAACAGTACAACAATTAGCTAATTGAAGACGTTTATGTTATTCGATCATTAATTTCTATAGAGAAATCGAGGGTAGTAGTATTGCATAGCGCGAGCTCAAGCCGATTAAAACTATTCTGTGCACTTTCTTCAGCTGCGGGCCGGCTAACGTCATAGATACTCGTGAAGTCCCTATTTTCATTGGCAAGAAAGAAACAAACGGCCAGACAAGTTAAGTGGGTTGCAGTATGTCAATGCCGGCCTCGAATCAGCGTTTCAATGTCTGTATTATACAAGAGGCGAAATTTCGTCTTTAGATTAAAGGAATAAAATCGCTAGTACGCGGCTCTAGCCGGGGCAAACGCTTCGATCATTTGTCAATGTCGCCGTCAGATCGCTTGTGTTCTACTACCTGTTCAACTTCGTTCATATACAAATGTCAAAATTCGTTTTAACCGTATCTTTAACGTCACCGCGAGAAGAACTGTGGCACTGAACGCCGGCCGGCTTTCCAATCGCTCTTCAAGGCGGCCTTGTACAAACAGTCGTTGTTTGAATTTGAGCGCTTCATTTTTCTTAGGCTTGAGCTTTAATGAAAATGCTAATAGAAAGATTCTCTAAAACCGCCTTGGTTTTTAACACGACAGCTTGGGAAAGCCGTTCAGCGTTCATTACCGACTCGGAGAGACTAGGCCAGACCACATACGAAAACACATAATCATCTACCAGAAATAACCTTCTAAATAACAACAACAAAAGGATAACATTGTTCTATAGTATCGATGCACAGTTGGCGTTACACGTAAGCCGATCCGCTGACATCTTATTGAGTCAAAATACAAAGAAGCGCCCGTTTCATACGAAATGCCAACGCTAAGCTTAAAGTCAATTAGCTCTAAAAATATTCGGTGAATAAAAAAGATCTAATATCCTTCATGGTACTCAATGGCCTATCAATAACAAACGCACGAAAAGCTCTTATGTCTCATGAAAACATCTTACTCACGTTGTCGGTGAGCCATCAACTTGTCCGACCATCAACTTGTCCGACCATCAACTTGTCCGACCATCAAAATTTCCCAAACACTCATTTACCTACGGCCAACGGGTAGTTTTTGTTAGGTTCTTGAACTGTTATTATCTGAAAGTGTACAGTATTAGAATTACTGTGAAATTAGCGAGAGTTGAACAAAGACGGCGGCGTACTCGGCGTGGAGAAGAAATTGCTCTTATTACTGGAATATAATGTGCTTTTATTTTTTAAGGCCGACAATTTCAAGCATAGTTACACGCTAAGTTCTTAAGCTTAAATATAGACTAACTGTTTCCGTATATGCCTTTCCCAAATATCCATGACAAGGAGTTAATTAGTTGTCGGCTCCGCTGAGCGAAAGCTTAATACCATAGGCGCTTGCGTGCGAATCCGCCTATGCTTTATTATTTCTCTATGCTCTTCTTTTGCGCAGCAGGTTGGCCATATTTGTCAACTTGATGGGTGCTTTGATTGGGTTCGATCATTTGTTCGCCGTAAAGACCCGTAAGTAAATATCCGTACACTTGCCGTACAGGGAACCGTAACGGTGGATAAGCTTTTCGAAAACTGTGATTTTTATACGTGAGCTAAAAGTTTGATTTGTACACATGAGATTCTCTACTCCTGCTCCGGTGATTTTTGGCTGCATAAAAAAATTATAGGAACGCAATAATACATTTTCAAAAATGACTCAGATCAGTAAGTTAAAAGCGCAATTAATTGTTAACCAGCAACTTAAACGTTGCCTAATATCAGCGAGTATATTATTCGTTCATCCAATAGCTAGTGCTCATATAAACGTGTATTATTTTCCGACGAGTAGTCCCAGACATTTTCTGAGCTTTTACAGTTCTTGACGGGTAAGTAGCTTAGGAAGAAGCTAGCAGAATTTTTTTGTGAATATTCGAGGCTTCAGTGGAACACAACACGACATTTGACTTCGTACCACCACCGTCCCTTCTGCCGGATCTCCTTACTATAATTTGAAAAGGCGTGAGAATTGTGAGATTTCCTATGTTTGCAAGCACTTTTGTGCTTTACTTCTGGCATAATTGCTGCCCGCTTCCGAAGCAACTGTCGTTAAAGGCACATATTTATCTTGACATTTTTCATTCGTTCGGTGGCAGGCGTACCGATCACATCACACGATAGCACGCCGTCGAGTGTTGTGCACCTAGCAACGTGTTTCGATATGGTTCCCAGTAACGGTATTGATGGCAACGTTAGTATCCGATAAAGCAGGAAATAATCCGAGGTAAAGCAGGGAATCAAGCATATTATCTAAATATAGGATTGGCACATCATCGAAGTGGTTCTAAATTCGAGATGACCCCTTACCGTCCCCCCCCCCCCCCTCTGTCCTACTTTTGAGACAAAGGAAACATTTTTCAAATTTACGGTCACAAACCTTCTTTTACTCTGACCTTAAGAAGAAAAACTTTCCAGCGAACCTGTGTCCGTTATGTATGGTTCGGTAGTTTATTTGTTCAACGATATGATACGTAACAACAGAATGGCTACGGTTGCTGTTAAGAGCGTCGAGCAAACGGGTATAAACCGCTATGAACTTTCTCATCTTCAGGGGGTGCCGATTTAGAATTTCACTGGGTGGAAAAGAAAACATCGATTGCGTTCAAGATAGAATCTAATGGTTGTCTTAGGAATCAGAAAAAACAAAAAATATAGATGTGCATCCAAAAAGTCGTTGTCGAAAAAAACGGCTCAGAGCTTCTGATCATTCGAAACATTATTTTAGTTAATTGTCGACCTTTTGCTAGAGGTAAAGCAATTTAAACTTAACTGAATGGCTAATTTTAGTTTTTTGTCAAATCTTTTAAAATATGATTTCGGCTTTCCTATTGAGTTGCCTATTGAGTGGCATTAACGACTGTTTTTCTCGCTAGATGGACTCAAAGTCATGTGCCTCAGCCCGTATTGACTAGCATAGCTATCATACGCAAACTGAAATTTGACAATAGTAAATGCGCCATCGCTGTGGGAATGGCTTTATTCAGACGTGGTCTTGACAATAGCTAATATTCTTGTAAAGCTTTTCTATGTAAGTTTATTAATTTCACAAATGTAACTTCACGGAAAATAATCTACTCGATCGTATTTCTATCGGTGAAGGACACAACCACGTCCTATTTAGAGCGGTTGATGCTCCCCTTCCCAAAATAGCTAACGCTATACGTCTTGTTGGGTTGGGAAGGAGTAGTTAGGGTCGTCGTAATAAATTACAACAAGCCAGTGAGAAAAACCGGGCAGGCCTACTGAGCAAAAAGGACGTCGTTTTTCACCGTGAAAATGTCCGAATGCATGCACCTTTAGCTACCCAGTAAATCTGTAGAGATTTTAGAAATTTAAATGCATTCAGAGTAGATAGGCTGGATATAGGCACCATTAGGGTATCATTTGCTCTGTTCTGTGCAGAGCAGACTTCTTAATAGTGTTTTTTTCAACGTAAATGGAGAAATGCAAAAATCATTTGTTATAATTGTTTGCCCAGAAGGCATCGAAGCTCTACAGCGATGAGATGGCGATCTGGCCATACCAGAACAATGGCAGGGGGTCATTGGCACATATTTAACTTAATAATATCATTTTTAAGTTTGAAGACGATCAATAGTTCCTCGATTGTCAATATTTTGGACCCTGAATTCTAAATCGCACATATCATCTTCATCGTTTAGAATAAAATTGTCAAAGTATAACTCCGTTTTTATTTTAAGAGGATGCATGAAATCAATGTTTTCTTATGCTTCAGTTAAATCCAACATTGTTTATATTTATTTTCTAAGATTTTTCTTTGCGAAGCTCGTCCTGTGTGGACGGCAAAACAGACAGTTTTTGAATTTCAATTGTAAAAACTATCTCTCAGGCTCGCATAGGCATAACTCGCCGTTATGAGACCGAATTGTTGGCCATGTTATAACTTTAATAAATTTAGCTATTACAGAGAAAAACAACGCCAAAGTTTCACCACAGGCGTAATGAAATACATAAAAAATACATGCACCCACGTTCATAAACGAGTATTTATGAGTGACGTCGCGTTAATAATGTTATGGCGCGCACTGAAAGTAAGTCAGTGATTGTGAAAAATATGCTTAGAAACAAAAATTATCCTCTAGACCATGCTGTTTTGCTCAGGGCAAAGTCCCACCTAAGCAATATCTTCCTTCAGGTAGGCTCAGGTGTCATATGCATTTAGACCATTTAGAGGACTCAAACTTTACGTAAACCAACATACCGTCTTCAACGAACGCCCCAGACGAAAATCTAGACGATTATACTTAGCATGTGATTACAGTGAAGTCTATGATCTATAATTCACAGTTCGTCTACGGCAGTCGACAGGATGGGAATATGTTTTCGCAGCGCCTCTGTAGCCCGTAAAAAGTCAAATGGCGCGGGCGGCTTGAAATTATGGCTTTTGATTATAGGAGATACAGTTTACCCACGTTACTTTCTGGGGCAGACCGCGGTCTCTGGGACCGGACTTCCCATTGCTTTCAATATCGTGGCACAGTTCCTCTTACACCTGACCATTACGAGAACCATGTGTTTTGAAGCTCGCCCATTGACTTCGCCTTCTGTTTCTTTCCGTCCTTTAGATTTAATTTGTAGGGACATATTGTAGACAACAACTTCAGGTGGGAAGTCGGCTGACGAAATCATGGCGCTAGCATGACCATATGCAGAATTAGTTTATCAACGCTAAGATGAGCGCCATCTCATAGTATCCTTCTCATTGGTGTGGGTATTATGGCTACCGTGAAAGAGGTACTGGTTAACTGCAAAAATAGTTCTCATGCGCAATTGTCTTTTATTCTAGACAAATGTTTGTCTGGCGTGGTTACCCTATGCGACCGCGTCGTAACGCGGTATCTTTTTTTGTCACTTAGATCTGCTGGACCAGCTAAATTATCAAAGATTCATGATAATGTACTGTTTACCAGCTACAGGCTGAATTCTGTTGGTTCAGAATGAAAGCGGAAGAGGTGCATGTAGCACTCTACGAATGATTCCTACGGCTAGTATGTGATAATATCGATTAAGGGTAGCGTTTATGTACAACAAACTCAATGGATATTAGTGCATGCTAAACGAAGTCACTCGATCATGCGTGTGCGTATAAAGGTGAAGGTGGTATGATTTTTGAATTTTTTTTATCGCGTCTAATGCTCGTGCTGCTTGTACTAACGCTCGGATTTGTCGCAACGAAGCTACGCCTATAAGGATTGTCGTTTGTTCCACATTTAAGACATGTATTTTCCTGCACCGTACATACGCGCTCTTCGCGTTAAAGTAGAGCAGCTGCCAGGACGTGACTGTTGCGACGCTTCAATGTATAATAAAGCAGGCAGGACCCATCATGACACAGTGAATCTTCCAAACGAAAAGCTAACAATATCTGTATCATCTTCTTCTCACTGAGAGATAGAAAGAAGCGTGCAATCTTATTATCTCGCTAGCTTGATTTCAAGCCGGGTATCATAATAACGTACGTTTCCGAAGTGTTTCGAAGGCTAATTATAGAATAAGGAGCAGAGTTTTTTTTGTCAATGAATGAGAAATGTAAAGTCACAACATATTGTGTATATCCATAGTCATTCGTCATATGCTTATAAAGCGACCCGTGTCGAACGCTCTTATGACGAGTATCATTTAAGCTGTAAACAAATTACATGTGGAAAAACATCGCTCATTGGAAGAGTTGCGTCTAGCTAAGTGTCTTTAATTCTCTAAGTAATTTCTTCAATGCTATAGTTTTTACCAAGTTATCCAGCTCCGTATTACCATTAATTACTATTATATAGTTCTGGTGGACTGTGTTATTATATATTAACAAACTATAAATACTATGGAAGCTCGTCATAGTCAACTGCGGCCTGGATGAAGTTGGCGGGCAACGTAAAATTTGAAACCGAATAGAAGGCTGTTCGATAAATCGGATCAAAAGTATATTTATATACTATTTAGATAATTTTGAAATTGTTCTCATACGAAGAGTGTAAATATTGGATAGGTTTATCGGCATATTTTCGAATTTATCAATTAAACAACATCAACTTAACTATTTATTGGCTTTTAAAAGATATTCGAAAAAAATTAGTCTACATCATCACAGGATACTAATATAGGAATTTGTTATATATAGGTGTGCTCAAGGAAGTACTGCTGTGATGCCTACTTGATGTTGTAATATCAGCGTTCGGTATCAGTATACTTATTTTTCCAGGTCACTGTTCGTATCCTCTTCACCATAGCTAATCAATAATTCACAATTCCAGCTTTAGTTTATGTCTATGTTGAATAAGCTAAGGACACTTTAGGCTATGTATTTTTTAACGTCACAGTTGTAATAGTGGCTTTGCATAGAAGAAAAAAAAAAACAAATAATTTTGATGTACGTTGCATCCTCTGTTTTTCTCTTCCATAAGATACCAGTGTCTAATTTCCCAGAAGACTCTCGGACGTGCCGCTCCGCCGCGTGATATATGTCAACGTATTTTGGAACAGTTCTCCTCAAGACAGGATAATTACCAGCTTGGCCAATCGAAGGTAAACGTCCTAGATCAACCTTAGGCCGAGCGCGCTTGCATAAACGTTTTGCTGAAGACCAGAGATTTAAGATAAGTCGTTGAACCCAACTTCAATAAATTAAACTCAATGGCTATTTCTCATACCATTTTGTAGACTACATAAGTTATTTCGGGTAAGTTTTATAGCGTATGCAAAATGGGTACGTAGCCTGTCATAGCAGGCATCAACAGCCTCAGGTGGCCAGGTCCCGTTACTTCGACGCTTTGCATCGACTCCATATGCTTCAAGTCTCCCGCCCTCCTTTATTCGAAATTCTTCTATTGTGTCGCCCCAATATTTCCTCGGACTACATCGTACACCTTCTCTGAAAACCTAACTTTTTCGCTGCAGACGAATAGACACCTCTCCCTTTAATCCGCGCTTATGGTAAAGTAACTACCTATATTTCCGTGCAGGCACTGAGCATGCCTTACGACCCAGATGCATACTTCTCAAAAAGCGAATTATCTTCCCGGACTCTTTGAAGAGATGCAGCGCATATGAGGCAGCGGCACCAGCACTATCCGTATCAGAGACAACCTGTGCAGTGGGCCCATTAGGCGCAGATTTCGTCCTGAATGCGGTGCCATACGTCCACACTACGATGCTGAACAAGCGCTGAGCACCGGCTCTGGGTCGGAGCTGTCTGCCTGGGTCTTGGATCTAAGATGTTTCTCGATCTGCACTAGTCGCTTCGACTTGCTTTAGATTTGTGATACACAGACAAACATACGGACTCAGAGATTCAGAAACGCGTTGTACGACAACAGCAGCAGCAGCCGCAGTCGGTTAACTTAGTAGAATGCGCGGAATGAACGAGTTTTCGCGGGGAGGGTCGGTTTGTTGGGCTCTTCGAGATCGCACGAGTTTACTTGTAAGGATTTCAAGCGGAGGACAAGAACTCAGCCCTGTTGGGGTATCGGGCTCAACTGTTAAAGCTGTGAGCTGAGCTTGAGCGCTGCGTGCTAGTTGACTAGTAGTTATTTGTAGACTGACTGTTCAGCTCTCTTGGAATAGCGTTGGTTTAACCGTCGGCCGTTGGTTGGCCTAACAGATCAAACAGTTCGATCCGGACATAAGATCGCGCTCTCCACTGCGGCGGCGCCACGAAACAGGCAGCCGTAGTAGCGGATACGATGAGAACTCCAATAGAATCTCCAATTGTACGAAGAAGTGCCGCGTAGCTGTTGGAATTAGTCTGTTGTGCAGCAGCTTATAGGAGCGAAATTGGAATGAAATAGATTAGATTTTGTTCCATTTTTTCCATTGACTAGCTACGCGGAGATTAATTGCACCACGTGACCTTCTTAGGGACCTATTAGGCGACGAGGCCAAGTTCATACTGAGTAAAATTAACTGATATCCTGTGATTAAAGTTTAAGTGAAGAAGAACTGAACGAACGTGCAGATAATCGCTAAGAGTGATGGTGCTGTTTTCATGGACGCGATCGATGCTGAAAAATGCCTACAATAAGTTGAAGTCGAATGAATTACCTATACTGTAGTTTATTTTGCACAGTGTCCCCAACAGGAAAGAAAGCTGTGTAGGAAAGCGCTCTATTGTCCTGGCTTTATGCTGTTGCGGTTACAAAAGTTTCGTATATCTGTCTGGGCTCTTCGGGCGTTATCCGATACTCTAGCTGTGTCCCTCACGTCAGTCCATCAGGATGCCTTTGTTTCGTCGCAAGAAGAAAGACCACCTTCCCGAAAACCTGTTATTTTCGTTCAGTGATCAGCCACGACGATCAGCAAAGGTGATGTCGCCAAACAAGTTAAAAGCCAAATTGAATAGCCTGGAAAGAACAATTCGGTCTGACAGCTTGTCGTTAGACTCGCCCAATAGCGTCAACGGTAACGGATTTTTTGAAGCCGATCACGACGACATCAGCGAGACGGATTTTCTCCGAGGTGAACATGCTCTGCCTAGTGATCTCCAGCAATACAACGGCCACGCTGTAGCAGTGCAAAGCAATATGGCGCCAGTATTGTCATCAAACCCTATGAGTAACGCAAGTCCTTGCGCTGGTTTCTTCATACCCGAAGAAGGTATCATGACAAGCACTCCCGTGGTTACTGTCGACAAAGATAGGGATCTAGCACATCTAGATAATAAAAACAGGATTGACGGTACCGAAAAGCCCGAAGAGCTTTCCCCGGCATTGTCTCCGCTAAAGAACAAAAATCAGGTTTCCAATAAGACCAGTAAATCGCTTCTATCAGATGATGGCACCACGGTTATATACTTTGAAGGGGGCGACACGGACCTTGAAAAATTGGCGCCGGATGCGAACCATTTAAGTGTGAGCTCATTATTGGATACACCAGATAAACGAGCTCCTGAATTAGGAGAGTTTATCGCGAAGCTTGAAGACAGTCTTACTAGTTCGTTGAATAGTCGCAGCGACCTAATTCTCAGCAGTCCGGAATATAGTACAGCTAAAAAAAAGGAAATGTTCAATAAGCTTGTTGAGGACATGAGTGAGGTGCGTGATAGTCGTGAACTATTTGCGAATATCATCGAAAATAATACGGGTCAGGAACATAGCAAGCTAATAGATGATGATGATGAAGAGAACCCTGTTGAAGCAACTGTAGAGAAATCAGGAAGCAGGTCGATCAGAGGAGAGGGAAATGTCGAGGCTGACCGAGTGGAATGGAAAAGTCTGAAACGGTTTGCCAAAAAGAAAGATAATAAGGTGCTATTTAAAAAGAAGCTCAATGATACTGATGGTGGAAGTTCTGGTGCAGATAGTCTTTTCCCAGGCCTGTGTGACCCTATAAGTACCAAAGATAGTTCTAGTCCCACTTTTGATGGTAAGCTTGATTCGCCTAACGACAAGGAAAACCATTTCGAGCTCTCGCCAATGGGTTTCAATGAACGGGGTATTGATGTGGATGTATCGTTGCCCGCCACCATGCCAAGAGGTCAACTTCGAAGACCTTTACCAAATGTGCCTCAGAACAATAATAGTTTAGCACTTGGAAGACAGCGACGTCGATCTCGACCTCTAAGCAACATATTCAGTCGAATCTTTAACAAAAATACCGACAAGTCCAAAGATCACCGCGCAAACAAATCCGCTATTGGATTGCCACTAGCATCTGTATCGACCAGCACGATGCCCATTGGTTCAAGCTGTACACTTCCGTCAAAGAGACACAGCATCGCAGACATTCAGCATCGACCAGATGAAAAGAGCCCAAGTTTGCCACGACCTTCCGAATTCACCGCCGGTAAAATTCGCCCAATGAGCATGGCCGTTAGCCAGTTATTGGCCGGGTCGGGCGCACCTGTGTTTACCGCAAAAAATAAACATCATAGTACAATCATTGTCTCGGATAGCGTTTATGATATTGTTGCAAATTACGAAAACATGGACGGACTGCACACAAGTCCATCAAAGACTATTAGGAGTTCACGGGAACATGTAGCCACTCCGAAGAAAATTAATAAAAACTTCTCGAGAGCAAAAATACTTAAGAAACTACAGAACTCTCCAACAATTTCAATCAAAGACGTGGTGGATTCGCCCCCGAAAATAGATGCAATGGCTGCCATCAAACAGCATCAAACAGAAGATTTCGAGGCTTTGCCGGTTCAAGTTAGCGATTCCGTAGTAAAAATGAGAAATAGAAATCGGTTACATGAAAATAACGAAAGCAATAAAAATAAGAACGAAAACGATGGTAACAACTCAGAATTCTCTGAGGTACCTTATCGCGATAAGCCTATTATTGGTTCATTTTCGAAGAGACACAGCTTAGCAGTTCCTGATCAAGATAAGGGTATAATTAGTTCATCGAGATCAGCATTGTTTATGCAAGCTGGAAAACATCGTCGGCGGCCTTTTAGCGCTTACTATTCCGAGGTGAACTTTTCCGAAAGTGAGCCGGTTCGTCTGATTCGGTATCATCCATCTGTAGATGAAAGCGATCATGATCTTCCTAATGAAGCAAAATCATTGTCGCCTGTTATCAATGCTGATAACTATATCGTTCCTAGCGATGAATCGAAAGAGAAGGCAGTTGCGGGTTTCACTGATGAAGGGCAAATAAATAGCAGACATAAGCACGTTGGACGTGCTTTCACCAGTTCCACAATTCAGCTAGAGACATCACCTATGCCATGTTCCTCTGTAGAGCTTCCCTTCACCAGTGCTAACAACAGTGCCATAAGTGACAATAGTGATGTGTTTCTACAGGACCAACAGCAGTCGCCCAATCTGGGTGTGTCATTTCAGTTGCTTAATTTGGATCATGAATCAAGCTTAGCTCTACCGCTACTTCGCGCACCCGCCAAACCCCCTAGAGGCCTTCCCTCCGTCAGCATTCACGAGTTTGGATGGTTTGACGAAAAGGGCGAGGCCATCCAACCCGATTTAAGAGCGTTTCAAGCCCCTCTCGCAGTAAGTCCACAACGTTGAAACCATGGCCAACTTTTTTCTCTTTAGGAAATATATGAGCATCTTTATGTGTCGAGGAACCAAAATGAAGATTCATGCGGGCAACGTGACTATCATAGAAGTTTCAATAGACAGGTGCTTTTTGTTTATCAGTTATTAAATGTTTCAGGGATTTTTTTGCCATCCCTTTTGGCAAACGATCATTTGTTTGCCAATTGCAAAAAATAAAACTTACACGACTTTATTTATCCAGGGGCTGGCAGATAAATGCGCAACATGCTAACCGAGGAAAGTTATTGTATGTGTACTTTTTATTTGCTTTGTAACCTTACTTAGGTAAGTATGCATAACCACGCTTTGTTGTCGATGTCCTTAGGACCGGTCTTTGTTGACGTCAATCATTATGTCATTGTATTGTTCTGTTTGATCGTTGTTTTCCATTGACTGTTTGTACCAGGTGTTTCTGCGGGAGCCCCTGGAACAACACCTCGATCGGACGCGTGCGAACCGTATTCGCTCGGCCGTTATAACGATCCAGAAGCACATCCGGGGCTATCTCGCGCGTCAACGTTACGATCGCATAAAACTGTCTGCAGTTAAGATCCAGTCCGCGTACCGAGGCTATGCACAACGGCGGAAATACCTCAAAGTGCGTTATATCGAGCCATCAGCTACTATCTTATCGACATAGATTTCTAGTCGCATGAAGCAGGTGATCGATATGTCTAATTAAACACTGACGGATAATGGGAGAAATGTATGCGCGTAAATTTTAAACATTGTAGTCAAACATCTAATTAGTATAATCTGGGGAAACTAACCTTAAATAGCTTTACTTGGGGGTTTCCGATAAATTTTATATTTGTATGCGATTACACATTGCAGGAGACCTAGCGCCCAAATGATTATATTATAATTACAATCTAGCAACAGATTCATCTTAAACAGGTCGTTTATACACTGATTATGCACAAATTTGTACTCGTGTTTTTTATTCAGGTGCGTCGTGGCGTTGTTCGTGTCCAGGCAAACTGGCGCATGAAGTTGGCCTTACGCTCGTTCCGTCGACTTCAAGAGAGTGTCGCGTTAAAACGCGAGGCCGAACGTCGAGCCCGCGAAGCTGAACGGGAGAGAGTGGAACGTGAAGAACGCGAGAGGGAGAAACGAGAACGAGCCACATTTCAACATCTCGAAATTCCGCCAGAACTACAGTTGGCACTCAATAATATCGATGGTCAGTCAATCGTTTCAAGTCAATTGTAAATTCAGGAACTATACGAAACTATACATGTCTAACTTAACGAGAAACGCATAGCTTTTTGAATTTTTAATTTGGTTTTTTTCAAAGCTAGGTCCGATTCGCTGTTTCGGATTGTTTATTCAGACAATATAAAATCGTTGCAGAAGCAGTTTTAGCGTGTACTGTTTACTCTTCTACGCTTTGACAAAGAGCCAACAGCATTGATATAAACAGTCATGGTTAACTAATTCAGCTGAAGTTACGCGTAATAACATTCAGCATTTAAGGTAATCGTAATAACGTATCGACGCTGTGTTGTAGACTGGCAGTGTCCCCAAGGCGAGAGAAATATTGTTAAAGCAAACGAGCGTCCTCAACGAAGGCCTCGCCGGGTTATTGGACTTCCGGCAGATATCGACTCGCACGTATTCAGCAAATTCACCAACATCTATTTTAAGAGCCACCAATGGGGTCTCAAGAAAGAGCCTATTACTACGCCGTTCCTTGCTAAAGCTCACGACCAAGACAACCACGACTCGGTGGCCATATTCAAGCTTGTAGGCAAACGTTTCTTCTTCTTCTTCTTCTTCTTTGGTTAGCCAAAGGCTTAGTTCAGGGTGAAAAGCAGATTTTTACTATGTCATAGTGACTAACGGAAGGTAGCTATAGTTTCCTAGATTAGGTATCGTTACATCGTTGCCATTATTCAGGCGAAATTTTCTTATCTTTATTCTAATCTTATTAATTTAATTATAATAATTAAGCGATTATCTAATCTTACATTTAATCGACACATCTTGCCAGATTCTGCGCTTCATGTACGACCCGAATCTGACGGGAAAGCGGGAGCGACTCTTGGGCGACTACATCGTACAACGGGGATTGGCACGACCTTCACTTCGAGACGAAATTCTTTGCCAGCTCACAACCCAGACCTGTAATAATCCGGACGCCGCGTCCCGAAATCGCTGTTGGCTGTTAATGGCTAACTGTCTTTCTTGCTTCCCACCGTCGAGAACGCTCTACAAATACCTCCTGAAATACGTCTCTGACCATGGTAAGCGAAAGAGTGGTTACAAAGAAGTAAGTTACTAGAGTGTTTTCGATAGCAGTTATTCTAGTTTGTTATCCCCTTGTACAGAAACGCTAATGGGCCTGGCCCACACGACACTTTCAGTTTGCATTACTGAATAGCTTGGCTCATTGTTTTCTGTTCGAACAAAAACAAGTCAGGTTCAAAATTAGAATACATCAAGAGTAGTTGCTTTTTTAGTTTACAATTCCCCGAAAGAATGGCGAAACTCTATTGCCTTGTTTTCTATTGATAATAGCTTTCCATTCTATTCATATCGAACTATAATTACCTAAAAATAATAAACTTCTTTTACTATGAAATAAATTTCTGACCGTGTTGTTGCCTTTTTCGTTACGTATTTATAACAACAGCGGCCGTAGATAACTACGCTTGTCACTGCCAGCGTCTCCTTCTACGCATCGGCGCAATGGACGCCAAGCTAGCCCGAACTTATCCACCCAGCCTGCTCGAGTGGCGCAATAATGCCAATCGATTTCAGATCGGGCTTGAAGCTCACACGTATGATCAGATGACGGATCCCTTAGATAGCGGAGCGCCCGCAACCATTATTGAAGCGCACTCGTGGAGTTCGGGACAGGATTTTGCAACTGATATGCTGCACGCCCGAGGTATTGAAGAATCCCATTCATTTGGCTGGTCTACGGACCTCATTGAGGAAAATGGGAATATCGTTTACTCGTTGAACGGGGCCGATTATCTTATGGACCTAATCTCGGAAACGGAAATTGCTCCCGGGTTCGACACCTGCAAAAGCTATTATCTTGTGTCGTGTGACCGGTCCCGACCTATGGAAAAAAGTTTGCCGCTTTCGACGTCAGGGCCACATGATCCTGAACGCTACAATGTTTACGAAGCAGATATAAAGGAACTGCCACCGCTTCCGGCTAATCCCCCACCAGCTAATCGACAGGTCGCGCGGGGTAAAACATCCACAGCGAAGACTCCACAACCCGCACCTCCGGTAGCTATGGGGAGGAAAGCGCTACACCATATGAGCACAAATGCTCTTGGTGGGTGAAATATAATAAGTGATATCATAAGTGATAAGTGATATTTCCTAATGATGATCAACTACTTAGCAGGCAAAAGTGTGTGTGTATGAATAAAAAGTCTGGATGTTAGCGACCCAAGTCAATTCATAAGAGATCGCATGTTTGGCCCAGGAAATGTACATCTTTATTTCTTGAAATATTTTCGTCGTTGACAAATAATTTTTAGAAGCGGGATAGCGCAAGACGAGCTGAATATTTAATAATTATTATGCAGGTCCAGCGGCCGGTGGCGGTGCCTACAAGAAGAATCACATGACTCCTTCTCGGAGTCGTTCGATGGACGATCTTCTCGATGGCGACGAAGGCTCGGTAGTACCTCCACCTCTATCGAAACGCAGCGCCTTAAATGATCGTTACTTTGAGGTCCGTCGAAGTCATCAGCAACTTAGTACTCATAACGATAGTGTGGTCAGTCACGATGACCTTCAGAGCGATGCCGGTTAGTTGCTTAGATTTAAAGACTTACCGTATATTGTTGGCTGTTTACAGATATATTAGAAGGGCGATCGATTTTATGCTTGTTTTCTCAGAATTATTCTTTTCTTTTTCATCTATATAATGCACATCTTACCTATAGTAAGTAGCAAATGGTAATGGTGATACGCAGCCATAGGTCCAGTGGGTATAAAACTAGATAATTATTCAACTTGTTCATAGACGTTTAATATGTTAGAATTTTTCATGATACATCGATTTGTTTTACTTTTTTCAAAAACTAATAACCTAGTAAGATTAGTGATGTATGATAATCATAATGTTGTTGGCCTGCTTGAAGATGATGATGTGCTCCCACTAAGCACGAAGTCGCGACTGAATCAGCGATACTTATCTCAGCAAGCTGGATATCAAGGGCATCATCAACAGGGCGAAATGGCCGACGGCCGCTCTTCATCTATTCCTGACATATCTGAGTTGTCACCGATTATGAACGCAGGAGGCGAGCGTCCTCATCCGGCCTGGCAACGTAAGCTAGGATTGAGCGCATCGGCCCTCAATGAACGCTACTTCGATGACGGCAGCACTGGAGGTGCCGACGACGGAGCTAGAGGCTCGACAGGCTCTATGCCAGTCACAGAGCAGACGATCGAACCACAGCACAAATTTGCACGGGATCGCCCGCCAGCTGCACGGCCCGACTACCGATATCCTCCACACCCGAAAAGCAAGCGCTCAGCGCAGGCTCCCGGGCCGGCCTTAGGAAGCGGATCGCAAAGTTCACGCGCAACTCGCGTAGGGCCTGGCGAATACACACGGTCATCTGCGATGTCTGACTGCTCGGAAGCGCCGTCACTCGCTTCACACGTACGCCACGTCAAGGTACAGCAACTTCACGAAGTAGGGATTTCTGCTTCACTGCAGTGAATAATTAATTTCAGAGAAATAGCGGTTATGTCGTCGTTGTTAGGTTGTTAAAGTAGGTTTAATGTCGATTGGTGACCTTTCTTTAAAAGACCATTTAGTCGTTTGAACAAAGAATCGCATTTCGATAGGATTTGTATGCGCACACGTATCCGTATTTGAAATATTTCGATCATTTTATATTTCTTTTGGTATAGGTTCCATCACATACAGCTGACCTCGATCAGTATCTTGATGAACTGTTTAATCCGGTACTTGATGGCGATGATGGACTATCAGATGCCCGCTCCCTGGCCGCTAGCCTGAAGGGCCGTCAGCGAGACTTCGATGATGATTCTCTTATAGAGGCAATGAGCGATCCGGTTCGACTATCACGGAAAATCAAAGGAATGATATTGGATGATGATCAGGATAGCACAAGTGATCGTATGTATATCTTTCTACTTTTTATAACATGATATTAAAAATACTAAACTATTAATGGTTACATTGAAATTATTCAGTGAATATTTTTTTGGCACAACCGTTATTTAACTAAAATAGCAGTAATAATTCGATGTATATTTCCGCAACAGTTACTTTAGTACCATATTAGCAGAATTTTTTCAAATAATACCAAATGCTCTATGGGCTAGCTAGTTAATACTTGATTGTTTATCTATGCATATTCGCCGTACAGCTGTGGAATCAGGCTCAAAGACTCCCGACCCCGTATTTCCAGCGCCTCCGCCGCCTCCACCACCGATGCCGACACCTGCACAGCTTGGACTCTCTTCATTATCGAACTCCACGACGACTTTACAGCGCTCTTTGGTGCCACTGGATCAACCCCTTGAAGTGCAAACAGCGTCGCTCAGTTTCGACGACGATGAGGTCCTCTCGCTTGCCGAGGACTCAATTGGAATGATGTGGCAGGATCCGGTCGCACTGAGCGCTCGCATCAAGGGTGTAACGCAAGCAGTTGAGCAACAAGGAGCAATGTCTGGAGCAGGTGTGCAAGGCTTACCGGGGCTGAACCCAGGGGCAGCGGCGTTCTTTGGCTTTGGAGCACCTGGTCAGCGAACTCAGGGTCCATCAAGTCCTGGAAGTAACGGTGAGCTTTGAATCAACGCAATAGGAAGACAATATATAAGTACATGTTAGAGTTGGTATATACATATTTATATACGCAGCCAGTAAACATTAATCAGAATGAATATACATATATATATATATATAGCTGTGAATATTTCATCCCATATCTACACTAGGTACACTATAAAGAGCCAAAATTAGTATAACGTCTGCTTTTTCGCTTGGGCTCATTGTGAACAGTTATTTCTTACTTCAAACAGGAGCTCACACTTGCAGCAGCTGTGTTCGTTTTGACACCCACAGATATACGCAGGAACTAAATTTTATATTGTATGCATAAATAAACATATATATTCATCATGTCTATATCTAAGAAAGCGTCCCCTAATATCACCTCCTAGGCGGCGCTACAACGTCGAACAGTAACGGCTCGAATCCTGCCTTTTATAACCTGCCTCTGTATAACGTGTCAGGTAAAAACAAAACAAACTCACCAGGTTCCGTAGGCTACATAGCTTCCATTGCCAAACGTCATGTTTCTACTGGAGACAATCGAAAGATGTCCTGCTTTCAGTCTCCCTTGTGTTCTCTTTTTAAGTTAGACCAACTTCCCGCTAGTGGGAAGAGCTAACTTAAACTCTTCAAGCTATTGCACTGCACCATCACGCTGTTGCACGTACACCAGCTATTGAATCACCACGAGTCTCACAGTCAATTTAGGATTATTTGTATTCGTTTCCATTCGGGCGATTAATGAATACACGAAGTTAGAATAGGTAGTGGCGTCCGTCCTGATCGTCACGCTCACCGTCCTAGTAGAAGTTCCAACCAGTCTATCTAAAAAGAAGTATCGTTCCATTAAGTGAGAAATTGATACCAAATACAAGTTATAGTCTTGCACAAAATGAATACATAAGAAACTTTTTGTATTTTTATTTTAATTGTTCATACTCATATGGCCAAATCTATTTTAAAAGCTAGATTTATGCATTTGTGATAGTTGAAGAAAAAGTGTGCTATTTTCTATGCGTGAATGCCTTTGTCCTAGCCCTAAATACTATACGGAAGCATACAATATTTCTACATATATAACCACAAAGAAATTTGTCCTTATTAACGTCTCTGCATTGTATAATTTGAGCGACTAACTAAAATTATGAATTTTCTTCTTCTTGCTACTGTTCAACGTGCATAGGAATGACCGTGCCAATAGTTGACGCCAGCCAGTTGATACAGCAACAGGTAAAAAAATAATAATGAAGGCCATCGAAGCCTAATGAATTCCGATGTCTATATAGGCCTAGGTGTGTTAACAAAGGTTAGCTTGGTAGGCTTGGATCCAGTTGAATCTGTCTCCAAGTCAGCGATTTTCAACATCTATGGTTAAATATATATACTATGATCTTTCACATGTTATTGTACAGAAAATTACTTACGCCCGTACTTTTTTGTTTTGTGTATTTCTATAGCTCTACTGTTATAATACCATTGGCCCTGCTTCGTAGCATCTTATCATTGCTATTTTAAATTCTGAAAGATCCTTTCAAAGTTATTCGTAGGTATCGTGGAGATAGCATTCTTGACTGGGCCTATAACTCCGCAACACGTCAAAGGTGTTGACCGTTCTCACGTGTGCATTTGTTTTGGCTACTGACATGTAATACAACATAAAAATGTACAGCGTTGTATGCCTGTCGTTCTCAAACCCGTTTGAAGTATCCCAGTCCTTGTTTGGTGCTAATCAAGTTCATTTGAAATGCACTCAATTGAACAAATTAAGTGTATTTCTAACGAATCTATGATGAAATGCTTTAGGTGCTGCAGCAGCATATGATGCAGATGCAACAACGGGCCTTCTTGGCCAGCGCCGTCCAGCAAAATCTTCAAATTCAACAACAGTTAATGCAGCAAAGTGCAGCACTCCAACAACTGCTACAGAGTTCGGTCATTGGAGGAGCTTCCTCTCCTGGCCAGTCAGCGGAAGAGGTACAATGTTACTACCTGAAACAGTCCTTATTAAATCTCTATCTAATTATATGTATTTGATTTAGCAGTATACGTTTTCTTGGAAAATTTCTCATCACGCCTAACATCTAACAATATATTTGTATTTTTCAGATTGTTTAAGTTTGTAATACGTGTCATCGTTTTAAAGTAAACTTCGGCAGTGTTTTTTGATTAATACTACCATACATACGTTCGTTGACATAACTGATACAACGATTATGTCAACGAACAGAAATATTAGCTAGGACATTAGACGCTATGGCATTTACCATATTCTTTTTTATCTTCCTTTAGGGACTTCAAAGTATTCAGTCGACGACATCTGCACCAGCCAATCTGCAGAAGGGCCTTTTTCCGTCAGGTTTAAATCTGATGAGTCCCCTGCTGCTGAGCCAATCACCTGGAGTTGGTCAAGACCTCTCGACGCATTCGGTGCCTGCAATGCCGACACAAGCCCCCATAGGGAAATTGCGAAAATTTTCTGACAAGGGCGGCGCTGCTAGTGATTCAAGCAGTACTAGCAGCAGCAACAAAAGCAATTTTCAGAACGTCCTCTCCGAGCTTAAAATGAAGGTATGAAGATAAATTTAGATTTACTTAATTCCATTGCTGTTAAGGGTCGAGTTAACAAAAACGTAACGAAAGCGTTTTACGGGCACAGTTCACAGACTTTATTTTCCACGTATGACAGTTCAAACTGTTGAGCTGAATGAATGAGTCGCTCTAACTGGTTATTGTCCTATTAGTTAGCGTTATTAGTATAATTTTCTATTGTAATCGTTCGACTTGCGGTTGCCGTAGGCTGGTAATAGCGGACCTCCAGATCCGCCACTTTCACCGACGTCCGCGAAGAAGAGGGCTGCTGATCTGTATGGCCGGGCCAAGACGATTCGTATCGGAAAGTGGCGGTGGCCACCGCCTCGAGACGATAAGGGCAATTGCATTCCGGCACCGGGTCAACCTACTTCATTTAGCGAGTTCAAACGCCTCAAGCGTGAGGCTAAAAAGCAAGCCAAGAGGGACGCTGGTTTAGCGGGACCTGATGATGACGATATCGAGGTCAGCTCGTCCGACGATGAGAAATACATGCATGGCAACCCGTATAGCCAGATGAATGCTGCAACAGGTTCGGCGACACTTTAGATATTCTGTTTCGATGGGGGTTTTATGTATTTTTAAGTAAGTTATTTTTTTAGCACTTTAAGTTTAATTTTTTCGGAATCACCTCTTTTAGTTATAGGATCAAAAACTTGCTCGCTGCTGGACTTATCTGAGAGATCTTCGACGAACCTGTGGAATGAGAGCCATACAAGCAGCTGTTGGTCTTGATCATTTTCTACTTTTCCTTAATTGTTTATTTTTTTTCCTGGTCGTTATTTTAACTTACGCTAAAATATGAACCAACGTAACACACTGCTTGGGAGTTATAGTAACCATGCGATACACTTAAAAAAGATGCGTATTACCGAACCAGACCGTGTTACATCCAGCCTTCAGTGTTGTTTAATGCAATGTGCATCATTATAAAGGTGCTAAAACATTAAGCTGAATTGCCGCCTTATAAACGGTATTCATAAATGTTACAGGATCGGGTGACAGCGCTTTGAAGAGTAGTGGTACTAGCAATAAGGATGATATTATCAAGGCTTTCGAAGGCCGGTCCCGTCCAGATCCCGGATCGATCGGGAAAATTCGTATTAGTAATGAGATGAAATCGAAACTCGAACAACTGACTATTGATCATTCAGTCCGCTCGAAAAGCTCGTCGGCAAAGGGCAGTCCTGGTTCAGCCGTATCCGCTTTCAAACAGCTCAACGATGAGCGGAAAAACGCTCTTGAACGTCAGTTACAAGGTTGGTCTGATAATCAAGGTCATAAATGGACCGATGGCCGAGCCCAGCCGAGAACATCGGCAGCGGGAGCTGGTACCGAATCAGATGCGGAAAGTTTCCATGTTGATAATCTTGTGAAAAATAAAATTAAAAAAATGGAACGAGTGTCGCAGCAGATCAATGAACGCGGGATACATCCTATTGGAAATGGAGAACAGGCATCGACCAATAGCTCTGGCAAGTCATATGGGTAAGCTAAATATCCGTTCCTCCTTTTCTATTACCCCCCAGAGCGGACTTTATGTCAAAGTCTCATTTTGATGAGCCTCGTAAATGCATGGACCTTAAAATAGTACAAGATAATCGTAGCAGTCACTCTAAGTAACGCTGGTAAACTCCTGTTTGTTTTTTTTTCTTAGATACGACGATAACAGCGATCCAGATTCACCGGTATTAGCGCAAAATAAGAAAAATCAAAGGAACCAACTTGGCCCTCCTCCACCGCCGCCAGGGGGCGAGAAAAAGCAGACGTCCGAATGTAAGGCTTGAGTTTCCCAATATGTATGCACTTCTTAAAAGAGTCATGTAAGCGATGTGCAATGTGAGTTTTACACAGCTAAACCCATACAATATTCAACTTTCAATGTCTTAGTGATGTCTAGTGATAATAATTCTACTTATATTGGTACACTTTTAGATGAAGACGTCAAGGAAACCTCGACACCTCTGATCGAGCGAAGTAACCGTCCTCCAGTCCAACAGCCGCAGACACAAACCAAGCTCTTTCCTCTACCACAGACTTCGTTCCTGATGTATACGAATACACGTTGGGAACTTCGTATCCGCAAAGAGGTTTTTTCGCCAGCCGAGACATTGAACGATCCCAAAGCCACACATCTGATATTCGCACAAGTCGTTCGCGAGGTGATAGCGGGCACCACGATTCGTTTGACGCTGTCGGAAATCTGCCAGCTTCGCTCCCTTTTGTCGGAGTTCGGCGTAACGGAAAGTAACGTAAATGCTGCGGCAGCACACAAGCCTCACGTAAAAAAGGCCATCATCGAACAGTGCCGTAAATTCCCGAACTACTTTGCCCGGATCTTTCCCGTATCAACAGGTGCTGCAGGACAGCGACAAAACCGGTCAGGAAACCATTTACCCGAACTGCTTGGAGTGTCCCATTCCGGCCTGCGACTACTACGACGTGACCGAGATGCGTCTAACGGACGTGAGTATCTCCGGGTCCTTGACACCATTGCATTCGATAATGTCGTAGACGTGAGTTTGGCCCGGGTTTCAACCGTGCAATTACTGCTACGCGATGGGGGGCTGATGACGTTGTACTCGCCGAAAGCGCCACACATTCATTCGATTGTCGAGAGATTTGTTCGTGAAGCGCTTCGTGAGGGTGGGGGCAGTGAATTCGTACGGGCGCTGGCAGATTATGTGACCTCAGAAAACAGTCTGCTCAGTTTTCGTCGAGGAGATATCATCCGCTTACTGCATAAGCCTGCGAGCCATGTCAATGTTCCCAAAGGTGAGTGATGAAAACAGCTACAGTCGAGAGGCGATATATATATATATATATGTTGTATATGCCAACAGGTTTCAGCGGTTCATTACTAACGAGCTCAGCAGAGTATGGTGCTACTTTTCATCGGTTGAGATAATAACCAGTTTCTACAATCCTGTTTCTATCATCGGTTTCTAGCCAGACTTCTTCGAGCGATTTCAGTTTTTTATTTATTGATATTTATTAATATGTTCTAAATTAAACTGTTAATAACTTCAGGCTGGCTATTCGGCGCATTGGATACTGGCGATACTGGTCTGTTTCCGATTGAATACGTGGGGCCACTTCAAACCCGCAACGGTCATGATATGGCAGCAATGCACCATTCCTGGTCACATGCCGAGCATAATAAGGTGGGTTTATAATGCTATTCATACGCTACTTATCAAAAACCCTAAAAAGTATTATTGCCTTTTTATTATTGACGAAATAAGTAAATTTGCTTTTCTAAGAATGATTCTAATGCTACATATCCATTGACTACTATATATATATATATATATGTAATAGTTTAGTTGTACGAACACATTTGGCGGTAACACGTGAGCGATCTTACGAGAGTGATAATTGATCGAGATAGAAGAAGCAAAAGAGACGCAGACGAATTGGACGACAAATGATTCTCACTTAGGTCGTACCCGTGTCCTACGTTGGATATATTTATAATTTGTTTTTAAACAACTTCTACCTAATAATAATTGTGTATCCTCCATCGACTGCTTCGTTGTCGAAAACAGCACACGCTACATTTCTCTACACGGCAGCCATTTTGGAGTTCTGCTGCAATATTCCCTCCTCAGCATCGCATGGGAATATTGGCGACACAACATCAGACTATCAAAGGCAACAGGACTATGAGAACCCTCAACTTTCTCAGCTTATTCGTACTATCCACACAGACTCAGGCGACCTATAGACGACGCAAGTTCATAAACCAAAAACGATGCGTTGCTTCCCTTCGGGGAAGCTACATAGCATAAGCTAAGCCTAAAGCAGCTTCTGTAACGAAACCGAAAGAAACCCAAAGCGAACATCCATCTTGTCCCTTGGGCTTATACGCGGCTGTCGATATAAAATTGATCCCCTTCGGTTTGGACTTTGAAAAGTCCATGTTTCCCATAGCCCTTATCCGTGGTACTTCTGCGATAGAACGTTATCTTACCAAATTCCAACTGCCTGTAGCATGGTGAAAGGGACCACTAGCGAACGAAGTGAAGGAGTAACGGCTCTAAGATAGGGCGAAACTGCAAACGCCATGACTAGCGGAGCAGCGGGGGTGTGGAAGACGAGTTGCACACTTCTTAATCAGTTTTAGCCTGGCTCACGGATGGTCAGACAGGAGTCAGGCTCGATGAAGGTAACGCGTAACTGCCAGCCGATCGTTCTAGGGTCTCACCCTCCATAGCCAAAAGGAGAGTCATTACCACCGCAGCCACCAAACCGTTTCCAGCAAATAGCCGGTAACCAAGACACTGAAACACTCGAAGATAAGAACGCGGTTACGCGACTACACCTCGAACACATAGAGGATCTTTACTTAACCAAAGGCTTGTATGCGGCGTGTCGCTGACGGCTATTTGCCACCGGTTGAAGGTTCTGAGGAGTTGTGGGTCCAACATACAGAGCATGGGAGAGTCACCCCACTCAATCTATTCCTAGCACAAACTACAGCGTATTCGCAAACAGACCCTTAACCGTCGACTGAGATGGTTTTCTTTTAAAAAACCGAAAAAAAAAAAACCAAAACCGAACAAGCCCCTGGCTGCAGCGACAAGGGTAAAAATACCCCATGACATTTCTCTGTTTACCCTCAGCTTTTTGGTTTGGGCTGTGTTATGTTTCGCTTTATATATAGAGAGGGGCTTGGAAAGTGACCAGACGAGACTTTTTAATAAGAGAAATCAAGATATGAACAAAGGCCACTGTTCACTTTTGTCCTAGGATATTACATTGCTATACAGCTGGTGGCAAAGGGTCCTCCAAATAAGTTTTTTTTTCCTGAGAACAACTCGATAAGCGGTTAAACACTACCGTCGCCATCAACGCGGTGCTGGCTAGCTACAACTCAAGCCTAACTGTGTTTGCGAGTTTCGCTCAAAAAGTTACTGGACCTAATTTCATTATCTGAGCGAATGTGTTCCCAACCGCCCTAAGATGGGTAGGTTGTGCACATGAAATATGCTTTTTGTAAAACGCTTTAGAAATTTCATAACTACTTGTAGTCCTGTCAATGGACGCAACCACAAAGCACCGGACTGCCTCGGGACGTCGACAATACTGACCTTTTTTTATGTTGTGGCACTCTAATTATGACAGGACTGTCGATGTGTATATGCGCGCCAATAGTTCCTGCCATTTGTTAGTTTGTTTATGAAACAGGATAATGTTGAAGTGGTTCAAATCACGCTTGCTTTGTCCCTGCAACACAGCCAAAACTATGACCGAGGTCGTTAATATTCAAATGGAGACTTCGGTGGCGTGTACAGGAGATTTGAGTAAAATTTCTACGCTAGAGGTTGTCCGAAGCATGCTATTTGGATTTTGGCAATTACCGTTATTATTTCCGCGGCAGAATGCAGCAGACGCCCCGGCCAGACAGCTCTGCTAATCAGCATGTTGGAGGAGGCTGACTGCGTTAACTTGATAAGATCCGCCTTATTGAAATGGGTACCTGTATACTCGAGTCTGTTTGAATAATGCTAGTGCTACTTATTAATCTCTTCCACTTAACGTAACCGTATCTAAAACGGTTATTATTCGTGTTCTTAATAATGCAAATGCTCCTGAAGAATTGCCACGGGGCTGTCTTCCAGTAGACATGTTCCTCTGACATGTAAATGTAAGGTAGCTAATTTCCTCAATCATATTTTTTACGTCACTCAGAACGAGAACACAATGTCCCATCATATGCGTCACGTAAACACTAATTATAGTACTCGAACGAACTTCAACATGCGCCAGGTTTCTTGGGACCTTTAACATCTTCACCTTGTTCGCAAAACAAGTCTTCGGTGTCACTTGTTGCAAGTATAGTATTAAGGATTTATAGATCTGGACTAGTCTGGGGTTTCTCCAACCTACTTATGACTGCGTTGAATCAGAATAAAATCGTAAATTCGAACCGGTCGACGACAAGTATAACTAATATATAGCTCACGTTTATTTGTATCAGACACAGTTCAGTGAAGACCGTAGCTGTTGTTTTAACGTAATTGATTGCCACCTATGAATCTGGATATCTTTTAGAACACGCAGAATGAGCCGCTAGAACCAGTAGTAAGCCATCTACGTGGTCGCCAACCGCTAGTACTATCTTATTGCTATCAAGCTGTAACTACTAATCTACTCACGTTCACAGTTATACCATAAACTGATCGAGCTTCAAAACCGTCGCAAATCTTCTAGAGTCATTTGCTAATCTCAATTCAACAATCGATGTGTGCTGGCCAAAAAATGAGGACTCTCCTATTCAGAGGTGATCCAGTGTTGCTATCTTTTCAAATAGGATACGTTTTACGGTAAGCTCTTCTCGGACGGACTAACAGCGGGCTAAATCTCATTTTACAGCCCAAACGTAGGTTGCTCAATCCACGTTTGACACTAGTCAATCGAAAGTAACAAACACTACGAGCTTTTAAATAGTGTCCGTCGAAAGCGTGTTAGCAAGCATCACTGTTATGCGTCTCTTATTGTCATTCCAACTTGAAACTTATTGTTACTGCTGGTTTATCAATGAATATGACCGGAATAAGTAGTATTTTAAAGTTTCACATAAGCCTCTATGCGAGCGCTGTGCTGCAAGTTTTACATATGCATAATATGCGGGGCAATCTGTTTGCCCGTCACCTACACCTCAAACATTACAGGGCGACGCTTGCCTACTTCGTCTAGCTGAGTAGTTCGTTATAGGCAAAGTTTGAACCAAAGGATTCAGTGCTGTGAAAACAGATGAAAATTTCTTTTGAAACAATCGATAGCTGCGCGACGCAAGACTAGTCAGTGTCACAGTGTTCCGCCATGTGCCTATTCTGGTGTCGACTGCGGCTGCCGCGCTCTTTAAAATTGATTGCGCAAATCGAATTCGATCAGAAGAAAAGTCACAGAGATAATCGTTCATCGAAGTTACAAAAGGATTCGAATGAAGATCTTTTGAAGTTGTCTTCGGTACGAGAGCACCTATTACACAAGCGGACTGGAATCGATAAGTGGAGTTCAACCCCTGACACCCATTTGATTTCTAAATAGGGATTTTTTTAGTAGCATTGCGAATAGTGTATATTTTTCTCAATCCGTTAATATTTACGCACGTTCTCTTGCTCCAACTGTATGACCTGGAGCAGATCCCTCATAACCTAGGTTCTCAATTATCATACTGCGTATTAATCTCGTTCTTCTTTCAGGATGAAACCCGAACCCCAACATCGAGGGAAGTGAGACGAATCGAGCGTAGCGAGCACCAGAACTTACCCAAGAGATCTCCACTAACCGAGCCAAACGGCATTGACCCGCTTCATGAACACATCGGGTCTGATAACGAATTCGACGTGGTAGGTGACCTTAATGCAGGCGGGCCGGGTGGACTAGGTTCCCCTATTGCTGGGCCGTTGGAACCAAATGGAAAATTCTCAATGCTGCAGTTCGCTGTGTTCAACTTCCGTGAGAGTTTGGAGAAATACGACGTCCTGAGAGACCGTGAAAATCATTCGATTCGAGGCAGTATCAAGATGCTGGAGTTGCTCAAACAACAAAATAAACAGGTAAGATCTATTCGTAATTGCAGATATATTTGGACTGAAGCTGCTGGAGCTACTTTCCCTAAGAAAACGTGTGTAATCTGTGAGCTGAAGTTTTTATATCTATTGAACTAAACTTCCTGTGAAGTTCTGTCCATAATTAGAATGCTTCGTCATCCTGTTATATCTTTAGGGCAAGAAAAAGAGCAAAAAGAAAGCAGAGGAGGACTCGGATTGGACATGGAGCGAGCTTACGGAACTTGTCAAGTTCAGCAAATCGCCACTCCACAAATCCCTTTTGCCCTTAGAGTCAACCGAATTGAACAAGGTAACAAACATTAGTATTCAATTATGCGATATATTAATAGAATAGCCGTTCGAACCATAGATTTTTTTTCTACGTAGATGAAAGGAAAACTAACGTCTACCCTATTATACCGGAATATATCTTATTATAAAATTTTATTTATAGACGTTATATATGTATAGACTTACATCTGAAGTTAAACTCCATGCAGGTGGCCGTAGACTGTTTCATACAAATTATGCGTTACATGGGCGATTACCCGATGGCGAAAGGCCTTCTCGAGGTAGACTGCGTGTATTCGATACTTAGCACGTTGCACAAGTACCCCATGCTCCATGACGAAGTTTACTGCCAGCTCATCAAACAATGCACCTCGAACAAAAGCTCGAAGCTTGATTCATGCCAGAAGGGCTGGCGACTGCTATCCATAGTGACCGCGTATTTCGATTGCAGTGATAACCTTCGACCGTATCTTTTCCATTTCCTCGAGACCGCCGCGTTTGATAATCGACGAGCGTTCCATGGAACAGCGATGGTACGATGAATATGAGAAACTTCGGTTAACTGTTCAGTTTAAACTCTAGACGTTAGATTAGAAGGGTTCACAAAGTAAATCAGCTAGTAAAATGTTATAGTTATAACTCTGGCTAGATACAGGTTAGGAAGCGACATGGGCGGAAGAAGGGTGCTGCTATTGTTGTTGTTATTATTCAGTACCGTAACGAATAAACTGGTCTACTGTGTGTAACGCCTGTGTAGGTGTGCCTGCATAATCTGCGCAAGACGTTCCGCTACGGAGGCCGCAAGAATGTCCCTTCAATTGAAGAAATCGCTGCGATTTCGGCTGGGCGAAACTCGAAGCGTCAGATGTACCGCCTGCCAGGTGGCACAGAAAGGGTTATTAACACGAGATCGACAACAGTTGTTGACGATATTATTGAAGACATCTGTTCCGTGCTCGGTGTTACAGATCCCCTTGAGATGGAAGAATTCTCGTTGTACTGTATTGTAGAAGGCGGTAAGTGCAACGTATTTAATCGCCGTACCGGGAATATGGACAGGTTCAGATCTCGCAGCATAAATCATTGCTCGATAGCTGCACATCTAGTACGTCCGGACAAATGTTGCACGTATACGTTAGAACCCCAATTCTAGTAGCAAGCAATGATGCGCCCTTTATCATTCTAATAATAACGGTGTTGAAATGACATCCTGTTGATATCAGATCCATTCACGATGCCACTGAGTCGTGATGAGTACATTCTGGACGTTACCACGGAACTGCTAAAGAATGATCACGTCTTCTACTTAATCTTCTGCCGTTCCGTCTGGTATTATAATCTGAGGTAGGTTCACGTCACCGACAAAGGGTACCACTGATAGAAATAGTTATTCTATCGATTGTCTATATGTAGGTTGAAAAGAACGAAAATCTCTGTTTTATAAACCCGAATTCGGGCTTCAAAATGTAACTGGAAAATTTATCGTTCGCATTCACGATTTTGTACAAATAGACCATGCATAAAAACCATGTATAAATACACAGTTTATCCGCTACCCGGATGTGAGTTGATCTCCGTAGAGAAACAACATTTATCTTTGAGACTTGCCCGTTTCATACATTCAAATTCAGCCTCGTATCCATGACGCTCACGCTATATTACTGAACAATTTCTTTTTTTTAGACTCGACAATCAACTTTACATCGAGGTAATCTTCAACCAGGTCGCACCAGATTACCTAGAAGGTCTTCTACTCGTTACTGAGGGTGATGAGTTACCTGAAGGCGCCGTTCAAGACATCGCCCGAATTGCCGCGCTGTTACATCGTGCGGCCAACATGCAACATACGCCGACAAAGTACGTGATTCATTCCTTTTGGAAATTACTCAAATTAGACCGAGCATTGGCTAAAAGTGTTTCTATTAAACGGAAAACTGCTATTCGCCATTTCTCCCTAGTGATCTGGGATCAAACAACTTATTGACCCAGCAGCCCACTGTACAGGTTGACTAATTCTAGCAAAGCCTGTCTAAATCGAGCTGAAGTAAAGGCTTGCTGGCCAGAGAATGGATCGTTATTAGAGATTAGACTTGTTTCTACATCGCGGTGTTGTTCTTTGTTGTTTCTCAGAGATGAAGTTAAGTATCTCCTGCCGAAGCCTGTACTGCCAATGAAGGACATCAAGCCACCACAATGGGTTGAGTCCGTTCAGCAGCATTGGCCCCAGGCCCTCACGGCCACAACAACTGAAGCTAAGGTAGGCTCTACGTAATGAGAGGCGATTCTATAGAGCTTTAAATGAACAGATGTGTACTATACGACATCTTCATCACAATGAGTTGATTGCCATAGGTTTAAGCAGTGTTTATTTGTGCTATCTCTGCGTTATGATTATCTCTAGGCCGAATGCCTCGCTATACTACAACAATGGCCATTGTTCGGTTCATGCTTCTTCAATGTGAAGTGGATGCGCAGTGAGAGTACAGCTAACGAGCAAGTACTAGCCCTCAACCGTGAGGGTATCCATTTTCTCGATGTGCAGACGCATGTAAGCACCTTTGCGCCTGGAACTTTGTACCTGCTTTGACGAATGGTCTAACTAACAAAAACATGGAAAGTAGGCACAAAAGCCTCACACGAACACGGTCTATTATTTCTATTATTTTTGCCCATTGCTAGTACGACAACGTGTGAGTCTCGTTGACGTTCATTTCTGGATCCGTTTGGGATGCATTCATAGTTCTGTTGCTATGTCCTTTTTTTTTTTCTAACTTAAAAACTTAACTAACACTTACTTTTTCTCTGTTTTCGGCATGCGATGCAGAATACTGTTTGGATGCAGCCATTTTCGGAGGTGATCTCGACCCGAAAAGTTCAAGCGGAGGATGGAACCCTGTTTTTGGATATGAAGTGCGGCAATCTAATGCAGCAGAAAATCACGCGGATTCAAACTGAGCAAGCTCACGAAATCTCACGCCTTGTGCGGCAGTATATCAACATTGAGCAGGGCTTACAAGGCCGAGGAGGACCCGGCGGACAGCTAAACGCTATGGGAACACAAAATATGACACTGACGAGGCGTTAATACTACTAATACTGTCATAATCTTTACAAGGAAACTGCATACTTTCCCAATCTTTGAAGCGGGAAGACGAACGAGGCTATAGTTTCGCATAGTCTTAACGTTGCAAGATGTAATACTAATGCAATAATAATGCAATAGGTTTTATGGCGACTCACCATTAACTTGGAACTTCGCACCAACAAATGGCACCCGATCGCCAAATGCCAAACGGACCGTCCCAGCAAATGCCCAAAAGGACCTTGAAAGGTTACGAAATCTTAAACGCCACAGCCATGCTGACCGTTTGAGTACTGGCATATAATCAAGTTTCGAATAATTTTAGCTTTGCAGCGTAGATAACGAAAGACCGGAGATATTTTGAGTGAATCTTACTGAGAACTTGTTTCAACTGAACGAACGGACATGACGACTGTCGGTGCTCACTAGCCGACAATTTATACTGTGCAAGAAGATGGAGTGAATTTTGAACGGATGCACAATTTCGAAACGGAACTCCGCCTGCCCGTTCGCATGAAAACCTAAATAGGATATCGTCGATGGTTAAGTGCGATCTTTTTAAGCAGATAGTTGCACCTAGCGTTGAGCCATGTCGGGTGCCTAATATTATTATCATATCATTGGAATCATTTACTAAAATCTCGTTACTATTAGAATATATATTCAATAGCAGCCTTCATCGAACTGGTCGTTTCTTGTTGGCGCATGATTAGTTTGGAGCTGAATGCAACATTGCTGAAGTTGCCACTCACTTCACATGATGCCACTGTGCAGGGTCCGGGTCATTGCGTATGTGGGTCAGCATATGGGTTCGACATGTATTCGCGCCCGACATTTCGTTTACCTTGAAAATCGTGATCGGCTTGAACAACCGAAGAGAGGCTCTATTCATTCATTAATTCATGCAATATACTATATAACGAATATATATAGCCTTTTGTATAACTGCCCTGTTGGACCCTGAACGGTTCATTACTACTAGAGACATTAGACAAAGAGCGAGATAAACTGTGTACTCCGAACGCCAATTCAAGCTATACATCTCTTTCTCAATGAAATCATTACCTTGCTTGTTAGTACACTTTGTACTATAGCATTTCGATGTTTTCTCGAAACGTGCTACCGTGTGTGTGTTGTGTGTCGTATTTGTTAGACGTACGCCGATGACACGACTGTTTGGTACTATGCTTGATAATCAAACGCGGATCTGAGGCGCCCGGCATCAAACCAGAAATCTAACGTGGCCCGATTATTTTTTATTCGGTAATGATTCAGCATATAAATACATCGTGTGAAGCAGAGGTGCTATTTCCTTCAAAAGAAATGCGTTGGGAAGCTGTGTGGGTCGCACGTTCACGCGCAGGTGACACGAGTTCGAAAGAGTTGACAAATAACACCGTTAAGCAGAAATCACAACAACAACAACAACAACAACAACAACAACATTAAGAGAACATAGGAGAGTGCCGTATATAGGGAAACTCATAAGGAATGAGCATCTGTTAACTGTGTTAAAATGGCATAATATGATCGTATGATTAGTTATTATCAGTTCACACTAGCGGTAAAGTTACAACTGCAATAAGTAGTTAATAATAGGTACACATACGTTGGAAGTTAGGCAAAGTTTGCGGATGGCTGACAAACGCCAGTGCTTGAGCTGCCTAGGAACAGTGATTAGAAAGCAAATGTTGACGCTAGTGTAATTAACGATATAAACTTTGCTCATTGTTTATTAATATTGGAGACTGACTTGTGAGTTATTAACAGCTGTCGCTCATCTTAAATTGATGGACGACGCCGCCGCAGACATGAGATCGGCTATCTGTGGTAGATTGCTCGCTACTAAAACATACTCAGAACAAGAAGGAGTATGCCATTTGATACGCGATGGCAACGCGATAGAACCTTTTCTGCGGCTGTGATGGCAAAGAGGCTTATCGAGAGCCGTTAGGCGTCATCGAAATCCCCATTAAAGTATCCACATAGTCTACGAGACCAATTTCATTTCAAGTTATTTACGACATGCTATACTCTGTTCCCATCAATATGCTGTACCGTTTCAGCTAGCGTCAGTACCTTCTGTTCAGGTCCGCTAAAACGCAATCGGTGCTGATCGACCTATCTAGGCTCCCCGGATGCTGAGTTGGGCGTATTTCCATTTCTGTCCCACATGTGGTCGAACATCTAACAAACGTGTATGACTATAATACATCAAGGGATACTGAGAAAGGAGAAACAGGCCATGGTGTATTTGTTGCCTTACGAAGCAGTTGAACTGATCAGAAACTTCAGTACGAATGACAGTATGAATGTGGTTTTGCCCTTGGTGGGCTTAGCATATTGAGCGAGTGCCCACAGGATCCTATCTACAAAATCATCGATAGGAACCATCGACGTACCGTCCGCATGTATAGCAGAACTGAGTGATTATAGATAACATTAGTGATCTAATGAATAATAGTAGTATAATTAATGACAAGCTGAAAAGGGAAACAAAAATAACGATATTAATATATACATGACAACACCAACAACAAAAGCATCGATAATAACAGGAAATCCGTAGTAAATGAAGTACTGGTCAGGTAACAATGAAGACGAATGTGTTTTTGTCTTAGGTATGCGGGTTAGTTTTAGACATTACGTTCAGCTTAAACAGTAGAACGAGAGCACACATTTTTCACATAACAGCTAGTTAGACAAATGTATCACAAGCAGTGATGCTAGGGGTATTTTTTACGTGAACTTTAATGCCCCGTGAACGAATATACAAATGGCACAAAGCTAGCATACATTTAACTACCAATAGGCTTATTGCTAGTGGGCGAACAATGAATGCATCTGCGATTTGATTTCTATAGTTTTCTAATATTTTTAGTCAACTTTTACGTTTGTACAATGGCAAGGCACAGATAACAACCTCACAGTTTGGCGGAAGATTGTAATGTGTATAAATCATAGCACCGGAAGGAATAACTTGCAAAGAAAGTAGCACTTATCATTTTCTAGCATTATTTATTCCTGGAAGAGTAGTAGTAGTAGCATTTCTTGTAAAAGCCGAGGTCTCTCAGCGTCTTCTCAAAAGTTACTGGCTATTCATTACCATCGTGACTTTGCAGAGGAGTCAATTGTTTTAACCAAAAGTTTAAATTCGAAGTGAGCAAAATTGGAGTTACATGATTTCGGAGTAAGCGCCTCATCTTATATAATGCCCCTCATACACAGGCCTTCGATGAACAATATGATTTGAAATCTCAGTCGGAAGATCTAAAGCTCCTATTTTCCACTTGGGTATCAAGCAAAACTATTCATGCAATACTATAATTTTCCTTTAAGTAACCATTACGTACATATATATAGTCGACAGTAACGCATTTACATCATAATAAGCTGAGAAGCTGTTCTACTACTTCTCTTCCGAGAGCTCCGTGAACAAGAATCAGGAAACAGTTCGATGGGACGTAAAGTATCACGGCTACGATGCCCAATGCCCAATGCCCAATGTGGGACATATTAGTCTAATCAACTACTAAGGCTTTCTTCGTGAAATCGATGGCAGTTCCGCTGTAATGGCTATTAATGTAACTTCTGCAAGTTAAATGTAGTTTTTGTAACAATGTGCCGCGAAGTAGAATCGGTCTGTCGGCAGTCGAGTTTTAGGTTCCTCATAAATCGTGTTCCTCGTGTAAAACTTAAAAAAAGATTGCTTTGTTGCTTTTTACAAGGAAAAGCCGTGACAATCAATTGACACAATTTGTGTGTCCGATGGGTTTCGAGGAAATGTCTACATTGAGACTTGCAGTTACCACGTGTTTATCAGCTTTTCGAATTAAGTTTGAGCTCCTTGGCCATCGAATATTTGGATTTTTCTTTATGATTTGGATAGTTCTGGATGGAACGACAGCTTACAACTCTCACCAGAAGTCGTTACTCGAAAGGGTACGCTCGAAAGGGTCTGACAAATAGTAGCTTACACAGAATCATCTGGCCAGACCAACGGCCAAATCAGTCGTGCGGCTTCACTGTCTATATCTAGCGCAATAAATTAGATCAGACGTCTACGGGACACTCTCGCCATCGTATTACGCGTACTAAGGCGTACTACATAAAACGTCGTTGGTTCGTCTTTGGATGAAACTCAAACTGAATAGACTCAAGCCGGTTATTCCACTTTACGCCTTTATAAGGTTTGTATTCGTTATCGTGCAAAAGCTAAACCTATAAAAACTATGCACCTATAAAAATCTGAGAAAATAAGATATTTTCTTAGTGAAAAAAGAAAATTGCTCCAGCAGCTACACGGTGTAGCGGTATTTAGATTTGAGTAGAATGGAACATAGCTTTTTATCAGGTAGATTGAAAACACTTAGAAGCAAATTGGAACGATGTTTGATGAGTGACGCTGGCAGGCAAGTAGGCCAACCTACCACGGCCGTATCTGAAGATCCAGTATTAAGTGTTCCTTAACTAGTAGTAAAATTGCAAGAGCTTCACAGGGGAATACATGCAAATTTGTAGAACTCAAAATTCAATAATCATAGTTATAATAAAATAGCAAGCTAGGTGACACAACTTGCCACTAGCGGCTAATTTGGCCGCTTGTAAGTTCACGCATCTAAGCGTTATCCCATCATCATTGGACTTTACGCAGCTGAAGATCTGCGTTTAATTAGGAAGACAATAGTATTTGAAAGGATTGGTTATACGACCGGGATAAATATTCGAGAAGCATCGGTAGGTTTAACGTGAATCGAATTGTTTAGGGTGAAAGGTCAAATATAATGTATGGCAAGGAAGAGGGAAATTATCCAGAGGACGAAGACATAGCGGACCTCTCAAACAAACTGAATGATAAAATTCTATAGCTATTTTAAAGAATTACGCGTTTGTAAATAGAGCCGATCTATATATAAAAAAAAAAAAGAATTCGGTTATATATTATGTGTCCAATATATTCATTATAAGTGGTCATCCTGCTTTCAAGTCTAGATAATCCCGTAAAAATGACACGTCGCAGGCTTAAACGCTATTTACAGTGGAACTATTCAAGCTACAATTAGCAAATGTTTCGCATTGAGACATAAGCAGAACGGCTCTCTGTATTAGGCAGATTCGTCAGCGGTCGTCAGCGCATGCCATCCAGGCCCCATATAGCCAACCTTAAAAGGATAAGGTTAGTCAATATGACGTTATATTTTATTAATGTGGTCCTTATGAGAAATAGTATGTAGTTATTACCTACTGTTTGTGGGAGATATTTCTTACAACTACTTATGAATATATATTAGTACTCTCGGCAAGCAGAGGTGAGCCTCTTTTGACAGAAACCTTTACCACAATCGATATTATAGACTATATGGCATTATTATTGGTTATCGTTATTACATCGAATTAGTTCAAACAGATGTCACAGTCTTACTACTGATATAAAGGATTCTCAACTGGAGAAGGCGATAAGACAGCAGCCATTATTACCATCAAGGGCTGATCATAGCAATTCCAGCCTGTAGGACTACAATCTGAGAGGGAGTCCAAGGACATCTTTCATTGTGAGCAGGATAATTCGATGTGTAACGAAGCCAGAAAAGCCAAGCCAAGCCAAGTCGAGTCATAAAGGCAAGGGATGGCCTAGAAGAAGCAACTCGATTACCCGATCCCGTTTGTCTGCTTAAGACAAAAACTTTTATAACTGCTCATTTTGGTTCTCTTCGAAAGGAGCAAGTAGTTGCACACGCTCGGTTGGTACGTCGCCTTTATGTAGGAACATATAGAAATGATATCGTTATTATTACCGAGAAATAATGTAGTAATCATTTTCCAAATAGACGGTTCGGGCAAAGTGTTGCTTTAGCGGGCAGGGTGTCGGCAGCGAATTCTGCACAATCTGGAGACTGCAATTCAGCTATAGATCAAATTATCCTCTGTTAGGGAAGATAATAGTCATATACTCTGTGCTCTCGTAAGCTGCTATTCCAATGCATGACCCCTAACTAACTACAAAAGCATTCTGTGCGTTTTTGCAGAAACATGCTAGGCCAAGGTCATTTAGACGAAGCCTCGTACGATTTTGGTGCCGCATTTAGATGACATGGGGGTCCAGACAATTGCCGAACACTTGAACTTCCGTGCCAGTCATGCGGGTATTCGTTCGCTGCTAAAAGCTACGACGCATGAAACGTCACTTCAAGGACCTCAAGTATCTTTCATTAGTTAGGTTATAGACGCCCCGTCAATTACAACGTATTATATGAAACAGACGAAAGGAATTATCGGATCACGTACTGAAATTCTATCGGAAGCTCCGTCGAACACTAGCGTTACACTTAGACAAGTACTGTTTTACGTCCCTACCAAAATTTGCCCTCAAAGCCTGCAGTGGACGATGTTTACCTTTCTTCTCGAGTTCGATATATGCACGTTTCACTTAGTGGAAAATATCCGCACGGACTTTTCCCTCTACAGTTATGCTTAGATTTGTCCGCGACGTTTGCAAGGCTCGATCTGAGAAGCCCCGTTGCTACTGGATATTAAGGTTCCAGCAGCGCTATAATGTCGGCCACACTAAGCAGTCAACCGAGTCTTCTCAGATCGGCTCTCTACGAATGTAAATATATGACGCAGGTTTGTTTCCTTTGCCCTGTTTACTGTACTGTTAATTTTTCGAAATTAAAGAAGTTGCACAACTCCGAAGCACGCCCTTACCTCTACGTCCGCCCCAATATTACTTTTCGTGTCTGCTACGGTAATGCTTAACGCACCTTTTCAGGTTCACTGCAAAAACAGAAGGCAACCTTGATCAATCCCAAGGCCGATACAATGATCGACGACTGTTTAACACCTTCAGTTTTTATTACTAGTACACGATGTGCAGCAAGAGCTGGAAATCGCTCAGGAAGCAAGGACAGGGTTAATGAGGAGCTGTGAATCCGATGGTCGATCGGGCGCCAGAGAAACAAGTTTACAAATGTTTTAACGTATTGATTGCAATACGTTTTTTTTCGAAAAAATGAAGGTTAACGTTCAAAAAGAGCATTCCTAATCGGGCGACCCAGGTAGAATTTGTATATTTAGTTTGGATAAAATTAATGACTAGACAAATCACCGAGCTCTCATCGCGGAGAGCGGGAAAGAAAGAGGAGGCTTACCATTTTAAAGCACTTAGTTGAAAGGAGGATAATATGGGCTCATAGTCAAGACAAGTCGCTTGTTAGTTTAAGTTTGGGTGCGACATATATAGCCTGATAACTGCTGATATAGAAAAATGTATGTAAACAACGATGTGTGTACAAGGAAATGTATGAGGGTTTCCCGGGGCATTTGTTCACAGTCGCATTTATTTTCGTAAATGGGCGCTAGGTGGCAAAAAGTTTGTTGTTACCGTCGATTTGCAGACATTATTCGCTTAAGCACGCTTTCAAATCGCCAAACGAACTATTCCTGTTTGTTTTTATTTGTATCAGTTAAGGCCGATCTAGCCACCGGGGGCATCCCGTACCAGACATTAAAGCCGACTTGCCGCTATGCGATATGCTCTATAAACTAAAAATGCTAAAAGGACCTACGACCCGCCAACACACACGCTGTGGTCGAGGGCAAGAATCATTTGGACGCACCCCGTGCCAACGGATCAGTAATATAAAGAAACCCTGCATCATTATAATAACTCATAGACTACAGGACGGTGTATGGCCAGGTATAACATCTAACACAAGGCGCTCTTATAGCAAAGTAATGTATACGCATGTTGTTATATTGTTGTTCTACACTCAACAATAGTTCGGATAAAGTGCGCATGATCCGATTGTATCTGCTTAGTTAGATATAAATTCATTTGGCTCATAGTAGGTGCGTTATAAAATAAAAAAAAAAAAAACGTTTACCCGCTCTCAAAGGTTTAGGCAGTATATGATGTGGACGTTCCGCTTTCTAAATGACATCCCATCTTGGGAAGGAATAAGATCTGCTTTTGTATCTGGCATGGCCATATTTATCGAATGTTGTTTCGGCTGCTAGCGGATCCGAACTTTGGTTATTACGCTACCGTTGTACTATAGCTATAAGGGTAGAAGTTTATTCGATTGTTTGAAGCTCTATCGGAAGATAGTCTTATCAGGTTTATGACTACACTATGAGATGAAGGTGTGCCTTAAGTTAGAACTGATATACTTAATATAACCACCTTTTAGTAAAAAATTATTGTTGTGATCAATAATTGTCGTCAATATTGTTGAAGCAGGCACTCTTTTTATTTAGCATATCTTAATTTTTTTCGCATCATTTTTGCCCATGGCTCGAAATGTTGTCAGATCGCTTCATGTTTTCTCACTGGTGCTCAATTGCCACATGAAGCGATCTGACAACATTTCGAGCCACGGGCAAAAATGATGTAATATAGATATTATTACTATACTAGCTAGAGTATTGAAGTAATGCAAAAACAATTTTATAGGTTATTTGCAAAATCCTTTTTTTTTTGAGATTGTTTCTCATAATTTTAATGTAGCTTCAGGTAAGTGTTTTCCGCGAGAGAAATGGGCACTTTTTTGTCTTCTGCATAAAAGCTGCAGATGTTAACAAAATCTCGTCTTGAAACGACCCTTTTTTAAGGCCTCCTAGGCGCATCATTCTAACGTAAATCCTGTTTATCTTCGTATTATGTGACCTGTAAACAAGAACGAATGCTTTGCGAACAAGCTTTCTAACGAGTTTTGACAATCATGATCGCTAATTATAGTCTTTATAAAATTAGTAATTAATAGTTCATTTTTTTGTTTTTTTTTTTAGTTCGTTAAACAAATGTTTCTCGTCTATCGCGTCTCATTTTCGGTAGTTAACCTCGTCCGTCCGAGTGCGGTCCTTTCATAGGAAAAGAAGCAATGGGCCCTAGTCTTCAAAACTCGAAATCTATGTTACGTCTTTACATCTATCTTCAACATTTTTTGATCGAAAAGGAATTCACAAATGGGCCACTGGTTTGTTCCATTATCCACTACGGGTACGGACTTAATACGATGACAGCAGAATACTACTGGTTGAACCCGGCACCGCTCATAGCGTCCGTTATGCGATGCTCCGAAGATCTTATCAGTCCTTGGCATTATAATCCAGCCAACGGGATTATAGTGATTTTTTACTGCTATGAATTCAAGACCTCATCAATCGCAGCAAACAGATCAGGTTATCCGTCTGGGCTGTTGGTTCAGGATGAATTTTTGTGCTTCATCTCCTCCAAAAACACCACCGCGCCGGCCACACTTTTTTGTTGTTAAAGGCCCAGTTTGTGTATTTACATGAAATTAGTTTAGGTATCAATTTTGTAGAACATCCTACAAGCACGACACAATTTAACCTACCTTATTTGTTTATTTATTTTTTTTTTTTTATAAAAGGCAGGTACAATATATGCTTTTTTTTTTTGTTTGTTGGGCCGATTCTGTCGACTTTCGGCGCCTATTTCAGTTTCAACATTCAAATAAAGTAAGAAGAAGTAATTAAAAAAAAAAAAAGAACTTAACAGAAGAAGCTATACGTTACGGATTAAGCAAATAACTATCTCAATATAGCCATACAGCTTAATTTGATCCCTTCAAATATCTATGATATCGGCTCCACCTACTAGTTCATCAGGTTTTAGCTTATCGTGTCTTTTTTATATTTATTTTTTCATCGTATCGTATTTAAGTTTGTCGTTCAGTCGAGTGAAATAAACAAGCTTGTGCCACAAAGTTTCACCCCGACGCCTGCACCGGCGGAGGCCAAGAATGATACGATCAATTTCTGACATTTCACTCCACATTGTTTCCGATGGCGGAACTAGATGTAGAAAGTACTTGAGAAGCAGCCGATACAAGAAACACTATAGGGCTTCTGTATGTCACCAAAACAATAGCTTCATAGGCGCGCTGAAACGCAAACGTAACATAGCGACTATGTACAGCAATTAGTCCGTAAAAAATGCGAATAGGCTTGTTATCGTCGTGCGGCGTAGCCGTACTCAGTGGCCTGCTCAAATAACAAAATTTTCGCATTATAAAAACGCTTTCTATTTTTAAAAAAAATCTGTCAAACATGTATATGAATTGAGTTTTTACCTTAGATCCTAGTCGGCATAGTCGTCCAGCTCGATTATCTCACGAGAACAATACCATCATTTCGCCTTGTCCGCATCTGGCTGGCAACAGAAGTTGAGCCATACTTCTTCTGTTGTTAACGTATGCTCCAAGCAAGTTTTTTGTCGATTAGAGCTCCGCAAATTTCACATGGAGTACACCACATCCATATACAACTGGCCAAAAGTCAATCCACCGGTCAATCCACCCATTTTAACTGAATTGCCGTATTTTAAGTATCTCATTTATAATTCTAGCTTTGGCCGACACAGCCCGTAGACTCTAAGCTGTGCTTTCGTAGTATGCCTCTTCAATTGCGACTATGTGTTCTTGGTCTGCGAGTTCCAGCATTTTGTTACTTCATCGCCAGTTTTTAGAAGTCCAATCTCTGTTCTTGAAATGATTGCTGCATTATTTACATAGTGCTGTGTTTTCGCTCAAAGTCTCCTCGCCGAACGTATTTACTAATTTTCAGTGAATTTTCGCAGCGTTGTGGCCTTCGAAGGACAAAAACTTCACTAATAAATCTTCATTTCGGAACGTGAATATACTGTTTCTTTTGAAGTAATTCCTCTTCGTGAATGATTCGTTGGTTTTCATTCACAAAGTATTTAACAGCTGAAATTTCCTCTGTTGACGGCACGCGCTTCAAAAGTTGTATTTGCTTGTAAAGGCCTAGCATACAAATAAACGAGACATATTAATGTCTCGTTTAATGGATTTATGGGACAACACCAAGGCCTAGAGGTTTTTTTTTTATCTTTTCTTCAATAGGTGGTTACATTGAATGATGACACAAATATGATTGATATAGTTGTTCTCTTTCAGAAATGTCACTAAACCTTGAAATTGTTCAAATTTCGTTATTTTTTTTAGATTCTTTCAATGAATTTTAGATTCTTTCAATGAATAAAGACTTAACATGATGTTAATTTTTTATTAAAATTGAACTTACCAATTGACATTGAGAAATTCATTCAAATAATCACTCGAGATACGTTTTAACCCCATTGTTACAAAACCAATACGATCAATTGCACCTTTTATCATTCAGCAGTCTTAAAAGTATCCATTGTACGTAAAGAAATAGGTGCTGCATTTGTATTCACTCGTCGTCACTCATTGGTAAGCGTCAAGAAAAACTACCCTTACATAGAATACCATTTTTCCCCCTTTTTTTTTTCATCTTTACCTTTTAAGCGGCATTTTCGATCCTAGAATTAAGATTTAGCTATCGCGCTCCGATTAAGCTTATCGATTTTTTTCGACCGGTATCAAGAACGACCTCCCTTCCCTCCTCTCCCCACATAGATATCCATGTAAACATTCGGCCAACAGAAACATTTTGCCAATAGGAACACTCTTCCAATAAAAATTCTATTTAAAAATAGCCCATCTTAGCCTATACAATTTTCTTGTAGACGTGCATCTAGAAAATCCTGCAAAAAAAAAGGCGAACTTTAAGAAGACGACTAATTAGCCCAAACTAACCTGAAAAAAGGCTATCATCCAGTTAATGTTGCGCAGGTCAGGTGCGATGTTACATATAGACATATATATATACATATATAAACCTCGTGCTTGCTATATATGTGTATGTATATACAGCATGTTCACGACGTTCCTAGTAGAATCTAATAGAACTCAAGAAAAGTTGTGAAATATTCTAGATTGAGGGTCAACCAATGGCGAAACAATCTTCACACCCTGAAAGGTATGAGATTAAGAAAGTCCGCGTACTATAAAAAAACACCCTCGTTTCTGTAAACAGCTTGGAGCGATAATATGTATATATAATTTATTGTATTAAAAATGATTTTAATGAAAGTCTTATAAACCGTGTATTCGGTCCATCCAGGTTCATGTGATTCTTACATACAGATATACAAAAAAATATTTTTCTTCATATCAGTAAGCAAAGGTAGCTAGTGACACATAATTATATAGTAGTAGAAGGTGAAATATGCTTATCGATTATAGGCCTCATTTCAAAAGGAAACCGTCCAATAGTTTTGAGGACGTGAACGAGATAAGCGTGATAACACAAATATTTTGATAACAATGAAGAGCTTCGATAACCCTAGCCAAGATACTGACATTGAGGATAAAGCATATTTCAACAGCGTAGACGACGGTGCAAGCTATTATGCTAGTCCGATGCGACATCTGACCAATGACGACTTCAATAATGAAGGGCCAGTAATTCAGACTCAAGAGAGTGGTACAGGTTTGCATGGCGGCAATAGCAATAGACGACGAGAAAAACGTCAAGGCTCTCAATCGATAAGCCATTCTATTAGCGACCGGAGAAGTACACGATGGTGGCCCGACAGCCGTCAAAGCACTAAAGAAAGTCGAAGCAAACGGGGAAGTCGAAGTAGTCGGGATAATCGGGAAAGTCGGAGTAGTCGAGACAATCGGGAAAGTCGGAGTAGTCGGGGTAATCGGGCGAGTGCAGGCAGACAGGGAAATCAAAAAAACCAAAGCAGTAAAATAGGTCAGGAAGCTCAGAAAAGCGTTCAAGATGACAACCATGAAAGAAGACACAACGTGCAGGGTTTGTTCGATGAAGCCGAGCCTGATTCGGGTTTTTCCGGTAGCTCTCACACTGCCATCAAGGACAAGCAAATCTCTGCAGCTGCGGATAAGTCGCCCGGTCAGGGCGAGAGTAGTGAAATAGATAAGGCAAAGTTCAGCCCTGAACAATCAAGCAAGAAAGACACCTTCCGATTATTGGGGCAGCCCGATGTTGGTCGAACACCCAAGAGAAAAGTAAAAAAATCTATCAGTGAAGACAGCGTTGTACAGTTAGAGGAAAAACGCCGTAATCAAATTGATACTCCTAAGAGTACCACTAAACTGGCCGGTGTGGTGCAGGAAAGCAAAGACGATTTTAGGAATGTGAGTTTAGTGTTAAAGGTTGAAAAGAATGAAAGCGTGGGCGGAATGAATTTAACCCTTTGCGTCAGTTGTCTCGAAAACTGTAAGAAACCAAGTATCGAAAATCTAGTCGGTGACGAGGAAAGCAACTGTAAGCGAACCGTTGACGGAACCAAGACCGATAATGGCGATTTAACCCTCCGTAGCGGAGGAGGGTCCGCTCAAAGAACTGTTTTCCTGGAAAATATAATTATGATGAATGAAACTTTTAAAGGCAAATTCTTCGAGTTACGATGTTCGGTGCCTATAGGCAATTCAAACGGACCCCCAATTAATCTCGAATTCAATTGTGAGGACGATACATATAACGGAGCCAAGAGTCGTCGAACGCATCCTGGAATCACGCTTCCCTCTTCATGCAGCCAGTGTCCCACAGGAGTGCACAACGTTTTTGCTGATACATCATTTATGCAACCTTGGTTACAAAACTCTTGCTTGTTGACCGAAGCGGAACCAGCATCACGAGGAGGTTACTCGACTAAATTGGACCACGATGGCTTAAAGAAGCTCAACAGATCCTCAGTAGGATGGGGTGTCACAAGTCAGCCGGAAACCGTAAGATTCCCTGAGGCTGACTGTGTGTGTATGCAGCGTGCTGACAACCTACCCCCTACTTACTTAAGTCCTTTCTATCCTTCCCAAATGCCTACCACGTTTCCATCAGGCACAACGATGCCATCCACTCAAGCCTTCAGAAATTCTTTCTCCGCGCGGAACTCCCGAGATAACCTAGCATCAGAAAACTTTACGGGAAATAGTTTCAGACTACCTTCGACGGGGTTCTCACAAAATGCCTTCTCTACGTGGAACCGTCGAGGAAAATTTGCATCCGGAGGTTGCGCGAAAAATGCCCCCGGAGCACCCTTGACCGGGTTCTCGGGAAGTGCTTTTTCAGCGTGGAAGGATACTTTGGGTAACCTCGCACCTAAGAAAATCGCAGAAAGTGCCTATAAAGGAAAACTTGAAGCTTCATCTTTGCAAAATGTCTTTTCGGCAGGGAGGAGTGGTATAGATAGTCTTAAATCGAGGAAATTTACAGGAAAAGCTTTTGGAGGACGGTCAACCCCACCGCGAGATGCCTCCTTAGCGTCGAAGAGTACCCTAAGAGAGCTCGCATCTGGTAGATTCTTGAACAAAGACATAGCAAAACCTTCTACTTCATTATCGCGAATTGCACGGTCGGCGTGGAAAGATAATCCAGATAGCCTTAGATCACGAAGATTTATGGGAAAGCCCTTGGCACCGCTCTCACGAAAAACCTCGGGGAAAATAAAGCTTGCAGCTCGCAGGTTTGCAAAAGGAGATCCCGAAAGACTTTGGACTCCATGTTCACGAAATGTATTCTCAGCATGGAAGGGTCCTCAGGGTACCCTTGCGTCTGAAAGATACACGCGAAGAACACTAGGCAGAGGCTCAACTCGGTTTGCACCAAGCCAAACCCGTCCCTTAACAAAGAAAGACCTTTGGAATGATATCGCATCAGAAACATACGCACAACAAGCTCTGAACGAAGGTCCAAGTCTACAAGCGGTAAGTGAAACTTCCTTTTCAATGGGACCAGGCTTCTGGGACGATATCGCATCGAAACGATACGCACGAACTCTCAGCAGAGATTCAGTCACGCTCGACGAAGGCCACTTCTCACCAGGGAGGGATCTCCGGAATGATATCGCATCTGAAAGATACATTCGAAGAAACCTAAGCGGACGGTATTCACAGTTTTCCCCAAATACTCGGTCCGCAGGGCTCGACGTAAGGACTAGTCGGATACCCGCAAAGTATGCACGAGGTACTCTGAACAGAGACTTGATCCGGTATCTGCCCGGTGCCTTTTCACGATTTACACATGCTTGTTTATCAGGAATTCCACTGCTGTCTAGAGGAATGCCTCTAGACCATATCAGCCGCTTTTGCCAGTTCAAGCGTTACCGGGATCCACAAACTCGTAATTTGCGTCTACGGCACCATATGTCTCCTCTAAACCCTACACTACATTAAATATTATGTCATCCAGGGGTGTTTGCCGACAGAGGATGACAGATCTACATAAACGGTACTGATGGACGTCGGTTTGCTGAATTGTAAAGACCTGGGAAGTTTTCGCCGTCCAAACGCTCTTGATGTACTACTAAATTTATCATAGTTGTTAGAGCTGAAATGTTTGGGGGTGATCTTTACATTATAGTTGTAAAAGGACAACTATTTATGTGACTTCTCCAATTTACTAACTTAATAAAATGACAAAATAAAGACTTGATTAATCCTACTGGTAATGTGAGTAATCACTGCTGCTACTGTAATCATTGATTGACAATTAAATATAATGTTCAAAATAATGCAAGTACTTGCTGAATACAAATGATTGATTACCAGCTACATTCGATTCGGATAAGAGTATTTATGAGATTGCAGAAAGTTCTTTTTCTGATGAATGGATAGAGCACAATTCTGTTAGAAAACTAGCATATTAATTTTTACTCGCCCTGGGTTACTCCGTAGTCCAAAGCTACTAGTCTTACCTAGGGATGACCTTTTCCCTATCTTTCACTTCGGCTACAGTAGCACAATGGAATAGAGGACTTACATGTCAGAATCTTATTTTTACCTCTCCACATCATTTTTATGAGATGAGATGATCGAAACATTGATTAAATATCATCACGACGCCGTAACCATTTTTTGAATGCCACCGTCTACGACCATAGTTAGAGCCATCCTGTTCTCTTGCAGAAGTTAAAGAAGAAAACTTATGACCATTACAAGTGTTTTGATCTTCACATCGACTGGTGCCTTAGGTAAATAGTACCTTGAACGACTTGTCTTTTCCAGCACGTAGCGGCTTTGAATTTATACCACCCCGCGTGTCCCGGAGTTCGCGCGTGAACACGTTACCACTTCACCATTACAAAAAACCTTGGAGACGTCTATGAAGCCCACAATGTTTTAAGTTTTGCGCTTAGTTTGCGATAACGTGGCTAGGAATTCCATCAGACAGCTGTCTCCCATGGCTCACGAAACGAAGTCTGCCTATGTCAAGGTTTCAACCTAAACCACAATGTGTTCCTAATATTAGCACACAAATATATTTCCTACTAATATATCCCCGAAAAACGCTTGCCACTGCTTTCAAGCCAAACCTTCTCTTCGCTGTCGATCAGCTGTAAGGGACCCTCACCCTCGAAATCGGAAAGGGCCACTGCAGCCGTCAGCCCGTAGGCGGGTCGGTCCGTCCGTCAATCAGTCGCTCGACTGACTCTTCCATTGCCCAACTGTGTGATGCAGAGAAAGGAAACTATACGTAGATGCTGCTACAGCGGCCCGTTGAACGGCCGCAGTGCGCAGCAGCCGTCAAAGGAGTGAGAACACAGAGTTTCTGAGGTGTTCGTTTGTGAAAGATTACTTAGTTATGGCCGGCTGTTGCCCTGTGCTCGAATAGCGACGTGCATTTAGAGGTTTCGAGTTTGTGTCACCCACGAGGTCAACATCTGACGAACTGCTAGCACTAACAAAGCATAGATACAACCAGCATGCTCATAGTCTGAGAGAAGCGTATGTACATGCACATAAATAACTAACTGTCTGACTGTGCGTGCCGCGGAGGTCTATATCGCTGATTTGTAGTAGGACCGAGCGGACTGTAACACCGAGCATGCACGTAACGCGCTATCAGTGTTTTTCGAAAAACAAAGTGAGTAAAAAACTATAACGCATACGTGCTCATTAGAGAAACGCGTGTTAATTTATACCATATGCCCTACTACTGCCAAACACCGGTATCGACTTAATTATCAATATGACTTTAGCGGGTGAGTAAGGTTGACAAAAAGTGAACCGCGTTCGGTGTTTTACAACTGGGAAACCAGTTATTACAATCGTTGCCAATACAACTGGTGTTGTAGGTCACCAAAAGTTTTAGCGTCTTTTATCCTATGCGGTAACGGAATGTCAGTGTCAACGGTCGTGCGCCGTCGCTTCCCAGGCGACGAGGAGCCGATATATGACGACATAACGATGACGCCATCGTCAGGCGCCAGGGCTTCCGGAACTGGATCATCAACGTCGAGATTATCGTTCGGTAGAGACAACAAGCCCTTTGTACACGTCGAAGTACCGAAGGGTGTCTGGGCGCTTTTGTCATTAACATTTGCCTGCTCTATCACACTGCTCTATGTCAATGTTGACATACGCGCGATTAATATTGACGAGTTCAAACAGATCAAGAATATCACAGTGAATCAGGCAGCCAGCTACGCGGGATTAGAGCACTGTGGGTCAAGTCCAGTTGCGTGGTTACATGGTAAGGGCCTTGAAAGCGGGCATCTCCGTCACGTAATCGATGGGTTCCAACGTGCTGGATATCGGGTAGAGACACGTAAACCTTCCAAATGGGATGTCCTATGGTCTCATGAATACCCCTTTGGCGATCTTGGTTATGAAATTAATAATCTAACGCCTGGCCAGAGGGTCAATCATATCCCCGGAACGGGGTATATCACTAATAAGGTCAGTCTGGCTACAGGAAGCACGACGAAGCATATACCCATTGCATTTAAATTACCCCGCCAGAAACAAGACTTTCTTACTTACGCTAAGAACAATCCGAAGACTCTCTGGGTACAGAAATCAAACAGTCATCGCGGTATAGTGGTCAAGACTGCAGATGAGGTCGATTTTCATCTTGAGGATACCTTCGTACAAGAGTTTATAAAAAATCCGCTACTTATCGATGGTCACAAATTTGACATAGGAGTGTATGTGGTCATGACATCGGTGAAGCCTCTCCGAGTGTACATTTTCGAGGGTGATATTCTGCTACGTTTTTGTTCGAAGTCCTATAAGCTTTCTCGCGACCCGGACACATACGTGGTAGGAGATAACTATTTACCTATTTGGGAAGTACCGTCTCTGAAAGCGTTCTTCACAAAACATAGGTTTTCAATGAAAGACAGTTTAAACATGCACTTGCGTCAGAGTGGTCTAAATCCTGATAAGATTTGGAATCAGATTCGTGAAGCTGTGTCAAGTGTGTATTTCGAAAAGCAACGAGACATTGAAAAAGCTTCGAGGCGCTTTTTATCGACTACGCCCTTCTTCGAGATGGTCCGCTTTGATTTTCTGGTTGACAGCCAACTAAACGTACATCTGCTTGAGGCAAACATGTCCCCCAATCTGAGTTCGGCACACTTCAAGCAAAATGCTCGTCTGTACGAACAAGTCATCTATAATATGCTGTCTGTGACCGGGATATCGACTCCTCGTTCATCATTCCATCAGGGTCACTCCGGGATGGTCGTGTCCGATCAGGACCTTGTCGTGTATCCAGGACAATGTGTGGCCGATTGTGCTGGTGATGGCAATTGCCGTTCATCTGAACTTTGCGCACTTTGTGCCACCTGCTGGGAGGACGACACAAAGGAGGCGCTTATATTAGCCTTCAACGAACACATAAATCGCGGTAAATTCCGTCGCCTCATACCCCTTCCGGATCGGGACCCAGCTGACAGTGATTTTATGAAGCATCCGTATAACCGGCTGATGTATCTTTGGTTTAAGGGGAAATGCCAACTTGACGAAACCTTCTGTAGCTAGACATCGTCCGATGTTGGTAATCATAACAAACAGATTCTTGAATGGTATGCGGGTATCGTTTGCCTTCCGTTCGCGAGTCTGCTTCTCTTGGAATTCCTTTAGCCGACCAGATTTCTGTTTAGGAAACAATCGCTGATATAAAATAAACTCTTGCACCAAATAAGCCTGTATCTAGCTAAAAAAATGTTAATTCCTAGCCTGGTCACAATAATTTGTAACATATTTCAAATCAATGGTAAGGGTACTCAATTACATTCTTTCTATTTTGAAATTTGTCAACAAATTAAACTAGAGTAAGCGATAAAAATAGGACACGGTCATGTCTATCCGCAGCTACATGACATAATCTGCTACATCTAGATTTATGTATGCAGAATTATATCTACGTAAGCTTTTTGCACGGGGCTAAAATCTCTAGAAACCAACCGGTTTACTACTCAGCTCAGCAGAATACTTAGATCCTTACATTTTATCGCTTTCCTTTAGTAAGTACTAATTACTAATCGTTTAAGCAGGACAGTTGAAAAGCTCTGAAGGCGCAAGGCCTTGTATAATTTTGAACGCGATAATGACAACTCGCTATACTATGTTATATAAAAATATGTAGGAAGGAGGAACATAGCCATGTTTTATATATCGATAAATGTGCCTTTAGCGTCAATACTGATTTCGGTGCAAATGTAAGCACCTCTTAATGTAATTATTGACAGATATATTTTAATAGAGAGACAATTATACAAGATTGTAATGACAGATATTTATCGAACTGTGTTTGCCACAATTCAATGACCATATTACCGACAGGCCCGGCAAGGTAACGGAAGCTGCCTATAGTATGATCCGTGTGCGCTTGGTCAGCTCGACGATTATAAAAACAAATGCAAACTTGCTACCGCAAGTTTACGAAGTTCAAAGAAATTTATTTAGCTATCTTGTACGTATATGGACACTGCATTAGGTACGTTCTTAAAAACAGATTCGAGGAAAAGCTATGCGTTGCTAAGGCGTCTTATCATTACTTAATTAAATTAAACTCATGATCTTGTTTAACAAGTTAGTAACTATTGCGCGGCGGCAGATGAAGAAGGCGGTCCATTTGCAACCACTGTGGGATCTCGCGTCCAGTACCCCTTCTAAAATTCAAAGTTTCCTTCAAATTAGTAAAATACCCAATTTCGGCTTGCCATTGAACTTTGATTAGCGTCAACGCAATGACACTTCCTGCTCGCGGGACTCTGCTTTAATTAACCCCTATTATACCGTTATTATCCCGTTATTGCGTACTGAATAAGTGACAGCGCTCAGTAGTTCTAGCCGTCACAAATAAAATAAAAAGCTTAGCTAAGATGGAAAAAATCCTTTTATTTAGATAAAATGTACCCTAATGAGTGGTGATGATGAGCTTGGAGTATCCTGAACTTGTTTGTTTCCATTCAAACAACTATCCACAGCTAGTTACATGCTAAAATGCTTCTCAGCACAAAGTAAACATTCTAAACAATCATCAGCAGACCACATCAAAATGATTTACTAAATCATAGACTAGATTGAAGCTTGCGTCAGAGCTCCGAAGAGAATAAATCAGCGAATAATAATAACATCAATAACAAGTTCAATCTACTTATCTCGGCAGGTTCCTATTAAATGAATGTAAATGTAGTAACAACTTACTCTGCAACGCTATGAGTTTATTCAATGCTCAATCATATATTTTAACTTATACCTGTGGCCATTTAACAATAAGCTCTGTGATTTTGTACTCTCTGGTAGAAAGCAGCCTTTACATTAGGTCTGTATTAACATAGGCCTTCAGTATCCGAAGGTATGCAATCAGACGGATTTCCGTAACCTCCTCCACCGGGAGTTTCCACGCGAAGAATATCATTGCATTTTACGTAAAGTGTGTTTTTCGAACCAAGGTTTACCTGTAATGTCCCGCAACGTACACAGAGGCTGATGTTTTTCTTCAATATTGCCAGAAAACAGGAAGATGCCGACAAAGGAAATCCAAACATGTGTATGAGCTAACTGAAGTGTTCACTCTCATGTAACATAAAAGAAAAGCAAAAACTTTACATTAGCTAAACACATTAGAAGCATAAGACACATTGTTGTTGATTGCAGAATATCTGTTTGGAACGTTTTATCTATGAAGTTATTTACCTCACGACCGTTAGCCATGATAAGGGTGTTTCGACCCTTGATTCCATCCCGTCCACCTTCCATGCCGTAAGGGGCAAACACTCTGCGTTCAGTTAGCACTGACAAGGTGAAGTTCTTACGGAACATCAACTCTCGAACGATACCGTTGCCACCACAGTGGCGACCTGCTCCGCCTAAATAAGCAACACGAAAAGGTTCAATTAAAAAAGCATCTTCCTCTAACTCATAGCAAAACGGTTCTTCTTTTCAGTTATTTCTTATGGCGTTCGCCAGTATGGAAAAAGCTTTGCTAACCATAACGTTCTGAACTTAGGTTTGTGCTTATTAGCTTCATGTTACAGTTCAGAGGATCGCGTCAAGCTGTCCTCTTCTATTTGTGACCTGTACGTTGAGCAAGGACTCAGTAATGGACTACAAATTTGTACTATCTACCAAAAGTCATACCCATAATTACCTAAGACTTTAATCTTACGCGCTATGGGCGTCGGCCCAGTATGTTGGGATGGAACTTGCAAAGTGCGATTTCGGATAACGTATATAAAATGGTACTTATTGGTGAGCTTCTGCTTGTCATTAAGACAATAAACTAGGCTCAATTAGAAAAAAAAAAAAAACTAAAATCCAGTTACCAGTGTTGTTTCTGACGTGGAAACGATTCACTATAACAGGGTATCTCCGTTCGAGAATTTCAACATCGGTAATTCGGGTATTCGTCATATGCGAATGTACTGCAGAACGACCATTCCAATTTGGGCCGGCTCCAGTACCTCCGCCAATAGTCTCGTAATATCCACACGTTTCGTCGCCAAATGTAACATTGTTCATGCAGCCCTGAACGACAATGAAGAGAGCGATATCAACTGGACGTCACGTATCGAAGTGATGTAGAAAAAAAAGAGTGAAACGCTACGATGCCATTCATTATACGTATGTTGCATCATACGCTGCATTTGGAAATAGGTCACCAATTAGATGGGAAGAAAGTAGGAAGACCACATGAAAATCTGTTATACGCCTAAAATGCATAAAATTTACTCTATGCATAAATGTATTACTTGAGCCACTATGTTAGACGAACTCATATACGAAATTAGGTGGATACCTGCGAGGCGGCACAGACTTCAAATGCCTTCAGAATGACATCGCACAACCGTTGAGATGTGAGTACATTTCCACCTACAACAGCTGCTTCATCTGACGGACGCAGTAGAGATCGTGGCGGAATGATGATCATAATTGAGGATAGACAACCCTGATTCAACGGTATATCGTGACCTACCATGGATCGAAGGCAGTAAATAATAGCCGAGTGTGTAACGGCAAACGGCGCGTTATAGTTACTATAGACCTTGAAAAAGATAAAAAAAAAAATATGGTATTCGGCATTATTGAATGAGTCAATGTTCACCAGCAGGTATTCTTGTATATAACGTAATATCAACGAAAATGGTATATAGGAGTTTGTATGATTTATAATGAAGAACAAAGGTGAAGTCCTGAAATATTGGGAGAGGCCTCGATCGAGATCGAGATTAACTTTTTTATTGGCTTGGATTTAGTTCTAGGCTTAAAAACGGCCACAGCCAATTTAGAAAAATAACATTTTCTTTATACATTTAAAAACAGTGTCGAAGCAGATTACAAATAATGGATTTTACAAGTGTGCTTCTTCGGCGAGTAACGTGGTTTCTCTGCATCGACCTCTATATAACCCAATTTATATTTTGATTCAGTTACATTACATACTTATCATTTCGTGTTAGAATTTTATGTGTTTAATCCCAGTCGCGGTACACTGTATTTATCGTCCTTTTGAGTAGGAACACGTACCTCAATGGCGGTGCCGGTGAAATCAAACACAGCCTTTCCGGTCAAACAATCAATTTCCACCTTCAGCTTAATTTCGCTGCCATCATCCATAGAGTCAACAGCAGACAAGCAGACCTGTCGAATTTTTTCAAGTCAAGAAAGGTAATGTCAATTACGTTTAATCTTGCATAAATGAAAAGTCAAGCTCAACTCAATGGTGGCAATGTTTGTATTTATGTAGTATAATGCGCTGTGGGGAAAACTATTCATTACGACTTCATTAGCACGTTCAAAGATTATATACCCTGATCTAACGGTCCACACTTCGATATGGACCTTGTAAGCCCCCGACCAGTAAGTTCGTGTTTTCTCTCACGGGAAACTCACGGGATCTCAGGGGAAGTGCGAGCCTATCCATCTCTAAGCAATGCCTACTTCTAACTGTTTGTTTCGATACCTTGGTTTGGCCTTTGCCTCCTAAACGCTTTCCGATATCTTTCAAAAGCGTAGTAACAGCGAGCTCAGCGTTCTCTTGAATGTGATGCATGTAAGCTTGTACACCATCAAGACCAAATTCTTCTATAAGTCCCTTCACGAGGCCGATTCCTATACAGAACAAGTATAGATATTCAAGCATCATGAAATTATTCAATATAACCAAGATGTGCTGTTGTGAAGTTTTTTTTTCCGCAAAGAAGGGGACTAGAATCTGGCAAATTACAGAGAAACACTATTGCTATTTGATATGCGTAAACATTACACTAACTAAACCGTTCTCGAACAGATTTAAAATTAAAAACTGCACCATAAACATTACTGTATGTACCCTTATTATTGGCTGCTATTTGCGCTTGCAAGTCTGCAATATTCTCGCGCACGTTTCGTGCTCCCGACGAGTTCTCTACACGCGCCGGCGCCATGAGCTTATCGATGAGTGCCTTCTCTTGAAATACGCCACGATCGACAATCTTGAAGCTAACAAAAATTGCACCCTCTTGATCGAGATTTTGCGAAGTTGTGGGCATAGAGCCTGGCGTGATCCCACCAATATCTGCGTGGTGGCCTCGATTTGCAACGAAAAACACAGGTTTCAGTCGGTCCTTAAAGAACACCGGCGTTATAACTGTTAAGTCAGGCAAATGGCTGCCCCCTGCTTTTGGATGATTTGTGAGAATCACATCGCCTGGGTGCAGATCACCCCTAAGTGCTTCAAGTTGGAACTGTACCGCCACCTGCATAGCTCCAAGATGTACAGGTATATGTGGAGCATTGGACACCAATCCACCGTCAGGACCAAAAAGCGCACAAGAAAAATCTAACCGCTCCTTAATGTTAGTCGAAATCGATGTCCGTTGCAAAACTTTGCCCATCTGTTCTGCGATGCTCATAAACCGGTGAGAAAAGATTGACAACTGGATATTGTCCAACGTTGCAGTTAACTGTTTACGAGAAGATGTTGTGTACTCAATAAAGATCTCAACATCGCCTTGAGCTGTGATTCTCGCCTCGCAGTTTGGCTCCACAATAATGGTTCCAATTTTGTCGATAATGATCGCAGGTCCTGTGATCACTGAGCCGGGCGCGAGTTTTTCCAAAACGAATATAGAAGTATCTAGGAAACCTTCTTCAAAGAAGCATGACATTTTTTTTTCAGGTGTAGGCACAACCTTTTTTGGCACGTGCGATGGACTATCTACGTAAAAATCAGACATCCCAATTGCTCTGACCCGGATATCGTCGACTATGACCTGCCGATCGGGCAAAACGAAACCGAATTCAGCTTCGTATCTATTGTGAAAGCATGTCAGAAAATCGCCGTACTTCGTAAATTGTTTATCTGGCTTATTTACAGTCATGGCCTGGCACATCAAGGCACAATCGGTCTTCTCATAACGCATGTTAAGGTAAACCTCGTGTCTGATACGGTCTTTACGGAATCCGTCGTCGAGAAGAGGCTTATCGCATTCTTGAAGCAATTGCTCAACTTTTGATTCGATCTCTATGAACGACTCTGGCGTATACGCGACAGCCGTGGGAAGCTGACGTTCCTGAATGACGTCAGCCAACGCAAGTCCATATGCGGACAAGATGCCCGAATATCGGTGAATAAAAATTTTAGAAATGGAGAGATTTTTGGCAACAGCGCAGGCATGTTGGCCTCCCGCGCCCCCGAAACATGCCAGGACGTGTTTCTTCGGTTCAAAACCCTTTGATTGCGTTATCGATCGAATCGCTCGACACATTGTCTCGTTTGCAACTTTAATGAAGCCGAGAGCTATCTCCTGTACACACATCGGTTTTTGTCCAGATGATTTTAAAAATGTATTTACCTCGCCAGTAAGTTTCTCCATAGCCAGCATTGATCTCTCTTTATCCAGTGGTTCGTTCTCACTTTGGCCAAAAATTGTTGGGAAATATTCCGGCAAAATTCGTCCAAGGCACAAGTTCGCGTCTGTAACTGTTAACGGGCCACCTTTTTTGTAGCAAACAGGACCAGGGTGAGCACCGGCAGATTCTGGGCCCGTGACAAAGAGGCCAGCTCGAAAAAATAACATCGAACCACCACCTGCTGCCACCGTATGGATATCCAACTGGGGTGACTGGACCACTACCCCTGAGATCGTTGATTCGTATGTGAAATCAAACGTACCGTCGTATCGACTTACGTCGGTCGATGTTCCGCCCATGTCAAAGCCGATAACTGGCGTTGAGGCGGTTGTTCGAGCGTAACCAACAACGCCACCTGCAGGACCAGACAGGATGGAGCGGGAACCACAGAAACGATCCATTCGAGTAAGTCCACCGTTTGATTGCATAAACAGCACTTTATTCTGCGTGAGACTTTCATCGAACCCGCGACAGAAACCCTTGAGGTACTTCGTGATACACGGTGTGAGGTATGCATCAAGCGCTGCCGTAAAGCCGCGGGGCACTGCCCGCACCATCGGCATGACCTCGGATGAAACTGAGACGTGCATGAAACCAACTTCTTCAGCGATTTGTTTTACACGCTGCTCATGATCTGGAAATGCGAACGAATGAAGTAGCACTACGGCTAAACTTGAGATACCTTTACCTTTTACGATCAATAAATCCTGACGGAGTTGGATTTCATCTAGAGGTTTCATAACTAACACCTGTTCTCCGGTGATACCATTGCGACTTTCGATCCCTCTCCAGTTCATTTGACAACGTTCATTTTTCAGGACAACCCGCTCGTTGACCTCAACAACATCTTCGTAGAGCACGTCGGGACATCGCACTTGAAGATCGAATATGTTCGGCCTCGCTTGATTACCAATAAACAACAGATCCCGAAATCCGGCTGTTGTTGCCAGTGCCATACGTTCACCTTTTCGTTCGAGAAGGGCATTTGTAGCAACTGTAGTCCCCATTCGAATCCATTCGATGTTGGCAGCATTGATCGGTTCTCGAGAAGGTAACGTGTGACAGCCTTCGTCGCTTAAGATTCGTCGAATTCCCTCAGTCGGGGCATCCGCGTAGTTAGAAGGATCTTCGGATAGTAGCTTTAGGACACGAATTTTCCCATTAGGGCATCGAGCACATACATCAGTGAACGTGCCCCCACGATCGATTGCAAACTGAAACATTTCTCCGAGCTCTTCTCACTGTACGCCGAAAAATTAAAAATTAAAAAAATTAAAAACCAGTCTAATATGTGCCACTCACACAACTAGCCCTGCAATTTGCCTATGCACACGAACCGTTGCTTGGATTAGCTACAGCGTCTCCTCATGCTACCAGTCTTCCTATTACAGGTTTTTTTCTGGCCCAACAGTGTCTAAAATCGTGGGAAATAAAATGTGGAGAGTGCTAAGGGGCTTCTGAGCTGCCTTTCGTTCAAGAGTGGCCTGTGAAGCCAAGCAGTGGCCATACTGAAATCATCAAAAGACTAGTCGACTCTCGATTGCTCCAGCGCCTCCAACGATAACGCTACACTTTCTACGACGACAGGTCCAACAATAACGCAAGCATATTGAAACACCACATCATCCAAGCGGGATCCATTTATAAGGCGCTCTTCACCGACGCTAATAACTGAGATGTTTCTTCAACAGATTAGTGTCCTTACAGTGTAACCAGCTCAATGGATAGTCGAGCCTTTTGTCATCTCACTGCTTGATGCCTAGTTAAGCGATTGTTAGCATTTATCGAATTTCTGACACAGTTGCTATGGAGACTGAGCTCAGACGCCAGCTCAGAGAGGCGGCGGGAATAGCTGACTGTCAGCTGTGCAGTCAACATCTGACAAGCAACCATTTTGCTCTTTCCAATGGCGGAAGGCTTTGATCTTAACACGACGACCGGACTTTGTCCTATTTCACCTTCCGACTGTTGACTTATTTAGATAATAACTGTTTCAATTGAAATATTATACATATATATATATTATACATATATATATATATATATCTAACAGTTCAGAGAATGCAAAATTATGATTAACAATTTGTTAAGCGTCGACACTAGATTGGTGTACATTTTAGATATGGTATATCTAATGGATATTCTGGTCTAGACGCTACACAAAGGTACAGTTATCTTGAGACTGATACGGGTCTCATATAGATAGGAACCTTTCGTGCGCATCTTATAGGTTTAGGCCGCCTAAGGATTTTACTGCACGTGCGGTTATTTCTTTCTATTTCACATGCTGTTACAGATAAGTCGCTATCATGTATGTTGAGTAATATTTGTAAATATTTCACTGACTAGTTATCTGATAAAGCAGTCTACAAAAGAAATCCTTCCATAATAGTCTACACTATTTGTACATGTCTGTAGTTATATGTAGTAATAAATTTCAATGTAGATATTGATAAATTTGTCTAGAAAGAAATTTCCAATTACCATATTTTAATTAATTTTTTCCATGTGCAAATGTATCCTAGAATATATTACTTAGAAATATTTTTATCGTTACTTTTTGCAACCATAACAGATGGTTTACGTCGCCGAAATCATTCTTCTTTATGATACATTACAGCAAGATAAATTGTGACTTGTGTGGCCGTATGGTCCATTACTCGGATATGCAGTGAGAGTTGGTGAGTACCTTTCTCTACCCTATGAGATACCTAAGAAAGTTATACTCCAAGATTATCAAGCCTCGAATATTTCTCAGAATAGTTCGTTGAAAAGGTGGTCACCTGACCCTCTGAGCCCCCGGCAGGCGATCAATTGCAATTCTACAAGCCACTCGAAATATAATTTTTTACCTATTCTAGCCTAATTATTGCTGTTTCTCATGTTTTTTAATGATCTTTTTTTGTTTTTTTTTTGCTACCCAACTATGCATAGATCCGCTACGGTAGAGTATTTTGAACAAAATATATAGCATGCGCAAAATATACAGTTTCTGTTCTAAAGTTTCCCTATATTTACGAGAAGCGTCTATCGACACTGAAACAGTTACATAACTTTAAGAAAATACCACGCATCTTGTCCAGAATGTTGGGCCTATCGGACCATCTCACCGAGCCTTCTATGCTTTGTTCCGTCTCCATCATGTCTACACTACCAGAAGGAGACTCGCCGCCGATTGGTTCGTTATAATTCCGTCGTTTTACCGCTGTTCGTTTGCATCGCGTTCGGTCGATGTCATCCCGTCTATTAACGAGAGAGGCAGACAGTTAATTCGATGGTGCGGCCGCTACCTAGATAGAATCTAGATAGTAAGTGTCGAAAGTGGTGGGGCAGCAAAGTAAAAAAAAGGACCGAGCAGATAGGACAGCAGCCTGTCTGGCTAGCTGGGTGAGCGAAAACGAGCGAACCGCTGAGTCTGCCGCTACGGTAGTGGCACAGAGGCCAATCACCAAGTTCTACAGAAAACTAGCAGTAGTAGAATTTCTGCTAGAGCTGCGTGATTACCATTTATGTTACTGGCCGAAGAAGGATTTCAGCAGGAAAAGTGCAGTGGAACGGCCGGTTCGCGGATCTGCCCATCCGGCCAGGACCAGCCGTACTCCAGTTGGGCTGCAACAGCGACCTGCCATCAGTAGAAGCCGGAATAGAACTGCGGTTTAACCGCGGGGACAGTTGATACCAGTGAAGTTGATTGTGATTTTCGTTAGGTTCTGCGTTTTCGAACGGAGAAATTGGAAAAAACTTTCGACAAGCGAAATTCTTACTGCAGGAGATCCGCTGCACAAACGCCGATTGTCTAGGACTCAGCAACTATTGCAGTGGCAGGGCAGACATTTTTCGATCAGTCGGTCAATCGTGGAAAAGAGTGTCCCTACATTACCCTTTTGGATGCATATGTAGAACTGCATGTAATTATTGTTGAGTTTGTTGTCGTATTATGTCGTGTGTGCGTATGCGGATGTGTCTCCATATAATCTCATTTTCGTGTACGTCGTCCTATGTCGAACCAACCTTGCGATCTATGCTATTTCTTGTCGTCTGATTGGCAGAAAGAGCCAGACGTCCATAACTGCACAGGAATGAGATTGTTCCTCTCTGCTAAGTTTGTCGGAAGAGCGCAAAAATCGAGGCTAGATTAAAAAACAAATCTTCTTTTCAAACAAGCTATTACCGGAATCGTCTCAGATATTTCGACGACTGACCTACTGTTCGCGTTCATCATTTGCAAGGAAGGCGAACCAGTGACTAAAAAAATAGAACACTTACCGGATTGTATAGACAACACTGCTTGTTTTCTTTCTATTTGGGACTACATCTAGCTATTCGAAACTCGTGGCTTACCTACTCACCAGCTGATTGGAAATTAATCAGCTACCTTGTATATTTAACTGTTAATGCTAGCGCTCGACGTGGATGTACGCCTGCCCGTACCGATTCAGGATCAGCTGTCTATTCAACTGACCTGAAGCAGGGCTACTGAAATGCTATAACAACAGATATTGCTACTGCCAAATAGAACACTGCTGTTCTCCTGAGAAGATTATTGCCGGATTCGTTGATGTATTTGTCGTTCTCGATTCATTTCGTTGTCATCAATCGGTAGCTGGTAATGTAGCCTCAATACAGCTGATGCCAGAATGGAATACGATTGGATCGGTCGTACGTAGAGGGTGTTGACGTGACGTTACCGGTGGTGGTGCTGCCGCTCTAAGAGTAGTTGCTGTTAGCAACGATGATGACGCTGGTGTCTTGCAGCTGAGAAAGAAAAGATTTACTGCACCCGTTGCTTAGCTAGGAAAAAAAAGGTAACAAAGGCGATTCACGTCATCGTTGAACAGGTTTAACAAACAAGCGTTGTAGTATTTCATGAGGAGCGTCAACCTAAAAAAAAAGAAAAATTAAAGGGGGCTAAAAGAATACGGAAATTGGTTAGTAAATAAAAAGTTCAGTTAGAGAGACAATTTTTTCGTCGCCAAAATTCAACCGGTTAGCGTATCCTAGTAACCCCAGTTTATTATTTTTTGTAAGGACGGAAGCCCTCATGTCAGCGCTAACATCGTTATAACGACCGATAACGTACGATTTATTAGTGAAATAGAGTTCAATCACTTAGTGGAAAAAGCTAGCCGATCTTGACCTAACAACTCCGACGTATTTGCTGCTTTGTATTTTATTATATCAGAAGTGCTTAAGCTGATTGCGGTCATTTTGCTGCTGCTTCTAGCCCAGCCGACGTTCGCGTCAAACGAGCGTCGCAATCAGCAGGCGAAAAGTGTTGGCTGGGCCCCCCTCTAAAGAACAAAGCAAAAAGAAAACATAACTGTATTGTCCAGCGACTCGGATTCTGACTGGCGCTGTTGGACTGATTTGGTAGGTGGTAAAAGGCGATGCTGGTAGAAGAAAAATAGAGGATTTAGTCTTGCGCGAAGGTCTATGCCATTGAAGAACGGTGTATATGGGAGCGTAGCATTATTTCTCTATCGGAGCAAACGACTGTGGATTGCCTTCGGAATAAGTAGTGCTTGTCCGGTCATTGGTGGTCACGGTTCTTGCCAGACTTATCGAATAGTCACGCAAATTCGAAAGCCTCCGCTGCCGGCTAGACCAAGAAGCGAAACACGACTCTCTCCCATCGCTGTTTTCCCAACGATCAACTGACAAGCACTTAATAGAAAAGGATACACAAAACCTACCGTAACAGCGATAGCGAAAGTGCAGAAAATCGGCAATAAAGTCCAGGTCAAGACTTTTTGTTATCGAGCAGGACAGCGTAAGGACCAGCAGACAAAACGACGACGAAGACGGGAAGAGCATCGAATAATTCTTGATCCTACTGGATTGCAGTCATGGGCGATCAGCTGACTGCTGAAGAGGTTCGTATCGTGGGACATGCAGTTCAGCATTGAGTGTACAGAAAGGAATTCCTTGGTTTAGGGCCACGAGACTATGTTGAATTAACAGCTAACAATTTTTTATGACGCCTTTTATTCGTCGTTTAGAAATACCGGGTAAGTTTTTGTCCAGGTTACAACATAGTCGGGCAATGAAAATGTGTAGTTAATGTTCCTTACTGCGTTGAATTATGGTTTCGGTGTAGCTAAACACCGCAAAGCTCCCGCGATTATTTAAACATTTTAAGTTGTAAGTGGGGTACTATCATTGAAGCTGCTGATTCAGAATCGTACATGTGGGGTACATCTGCTGCATACAGAGTTTGGTCCATATCTGCTTAACTACAACCTTACGTGGATATTTCTTAAGATGTTTTGCTCACTTGTGGCAGGCTCATTTGGTTGCGCCTCAGGCCACACAAACTGTAAACGCGCCACATGCTATTATCGCTCTCCAAGGACACTATAAGAGATTGCAGCAATATAGACAAATAAAAAAAACCTATCCAAACGAAAGTAGACGACACGCACATTTGAAAATATTTGAGATTAAAAATATGCTGCATTACTTGAGTCAAGCAAGAACCCTATACGTGCTGCTTAAATTTTCGACTAGGGGTTGTATATGTTCAGGAAGGGTATCTCGTACACGTGTTTGACCTGCCAAGGGTGACTGTAGATTGAAAATTATGTGCCTAGTTTTTTTCTGCATATCGCGTTGAGTGATTTTTTTTGTTACAAACTTTTTTCCGTAGTTGAGGAAGAAACGCCTGGCTCGGCTAGCAACGCCTCCAGTAGAGGCTACGCCTGCAGTCACTGGTGGCGCTGCTCCAATAGTGACCGCCCCTGTGAGTCCAGCTGTTCCTACGGCATCCCCCCATGGACCCCCTGGTTCCACAATAACCACGACACCGTCCACTTCCAGTGTGCATGGAAGCAAAAAGGATATAGGTAAGCAAAAAGAACACAGTTTTCACGGGGCAAGCGATCCGTTTCTTTTCCATGGATACCCTCCAGAGCAAATTGAACTTATGAAATAGATTACACCGTGCTTTTGCAGTGAATCTGCAGTGTTTTCAAGCTTATTTTTAGTCACATTCGCACAATGGTTTCGTTTTAAATCAGTGGTTAAAATTAGACGTACGTTTTTTTCGAACTCAAATTAATGTAGTGGAAAAAATGTAAAACAATTTCAGACGAACAGCACTAGGCAAACGCTCGGTATTCTACTGTCAATAACAGGTTCGGGTCCTAGATTCACCTGCAATTGCACCACTGTATTTATTAATAGTATCGGTTAAACTAACGTAACTTTCGGTAACTCTGTCACCAATTCCTAGTAAACCTAATGGTGTGTGTAACTTCTTAGAGACAATTTTCGATTTTGTTTTATTATATTCTCTTCGCAGATGATTTATCGACTGTTGTTTCAGCAGCAACAGCTCGCAAATCTTCAGAAGATGCGACTGGCATGGAGTTGGACGAGTCTACGAACCACAGCGTAAGTCATAGCCATGCGGGCGCTCATCATGCCGGATCGAAGAAAGGCGGACCGGCTGGCCTACCAGTCGAATCCTGTAAAAGACAGAAGTCATTACAGGGCACGGAGCTAACCAGAGTTCCCGGAGTACACGCGTACGACCCAAGTACTGCACCTCCTCCGAAGCGGTTAGTGTTTAGTGTTGAAACTACTGAACAGTTAGCTTCAACTGAAGATTAATGTGCAATTCTCGCACTAAAAACTTCCAATTGAGCCATATATCTCCCATATATCTTGAGCCATATATCTTGACAGTACAATGCGACCAGACAGGCCACTATCTGTTGTAGCATTACGTAATTAATACAGCGCACCAATGCAGATACATAGCTTCTGCACTGGATGAATCGCAAGGCTTTTCAAGCCTAGTTGTCAGCTGTCCGATTAATAGTCTTCCATTTGAATTCATTCAACAAATTATTGCTACTCTTTTTCTAAACGCGCGTCGCTGATCATGCCCGTTCTGTGGATTAGGTCGACACCTGACAGCGACGCTGAAGCGATGGAGGTAGATGAACCGAGCTTCGATAGAAGCACAACTGCAACAACGATACCCTCAGCAACGGCCGGTGCAGTTGTCCAAGCACAACATGCACGTGCGTTCGTTGCGTGCACGTCGATAGTCAGCACAACCCAAACGAGTTCGACGACGACGACAACGACGACAACAATGAACCGGATGGAACCCACAATAGGAGGGACGATAGGGAGCGCAGATGTCGCAGCAAAAATTTCGTTGACCGAAAGTGACCCAAACTTCACCAGAATGCAGGACACTATTCGCAAAATCCTACTCCCTGAAAAAGCTAATCCAGTCTTGCTTGAAGTTGGTGCAAGCATAAACCGTAGTACAGATTTCACAGGCGTCGCTCACATTGTTAGTATTAGCAATCGTTTTACATACGATAGGATGTGGTGTGTGTTATGATGAACAACGTGACGGTTAGAGCCTTCAACACCATTTAACATATTGTGCAAATTCTCGTTTCTTTTTATCTAAATCATCGCTGTGAGAGAGAGAAATAAAATATCATTTATTTCTCTCTCTTTCAAAACATATATATATCCCGTTGATAATCAGTAGTGTTCAACGAGTGCAATTTAAACCCATGCAATGGGTTTTGACGATTCGACTTTTCCAAGAATTTCTCTTCATGCGTTCTGTGTGTATGTTTGTTTGTTATTAACTCCTATTGTGGTTATAGGTTGTAGCTAAATGTATTGCCATGTACAGAGAAGCAGAAAATGAGGTGTCAAGACCCAAAGCTTCTGGGCCTACGAGCGCCTTCACATCTGGAGCAGCCTCATTGCCTGTCCCTGCTGAATCCGACAATCCAGTTAGCTATCTGGCAGGCTGCTACGAGAGAACTTTTGTCCTGGAGAAGGAGCTCCTTCGACGAAGTGAGGGATGTCCCATACAAGAGGTGCTGACAGAAATAAGAGTCCAGTGTCTAGCATACAGCCGATTACTTTTGTCTGGAGCGATTACCTGCCGGTGGTTAGAGGCTAAAAGTCGATCAGAGTGCTCGGCCCCTGATGGCCGCGGCTCTTCGAGTTTACATGAGCTGCACGAAGAGTTCTTCAACTCAATGCTCCAAGAGAAATTCCCGCCGAATTTTGTCGTCGATCTCATATTGGGCTGCAGTCATGAGGTGTGGTAGTGGTTTTGTGATTGAAGTTTTATTAATCGTCTAATGCTTGCCTGCTTAGTGGCTGTAGAGTACGAATAGTAATTTAATACGATAAAGGATTACTTTCTTGAGATTCCGGTCCTTAAATATCTGCTGGTTTCTCTATTACAGTTTCTAATTAAACTATAGACTATTACGGTTTTATGAAGAGTTAACTAAACGAGTGCTTAGAAAAAATAGAAAAAATAGTTAAATTCGACCCGAATTTAATAATATTTTAGAATAGGCAAGAAAAGTATATATGCGCTTTTTATCGGTTGGAAAATACAGGACTGTCTATTCGTTTACCTCTTAAGTACATGAAAAGTTTATCTTAGTGTGCTTTTGAGGCATTTTAATAAAATTACAGATAGTCCTTTGTTGCTGCTATTAAATAGAAACACCTTGATCTTCTTTTTATGAGCAGGAATTTGCTAGTATTTTCAATCCGGTAATCAAAATGTTATACATTGGTATGGGAGGTGCTTCCTACGCACATCAGGGCTATCGCGAGTACCTGAAGCTTTTACGGGAACTTTGCACTGTGAAGTACGCTTCGAGCAACGTTCGGCCGTTTTGCGATTTACTGGTTTCTAACGAAGCCTTCCTACCACTCGAAGTTCTAGATAGCCCATACGCAGGCCTTGAGGTAATGCATCGATCACTGCTTGGGCCGTTCCTTTCACTGAGCTTATTTGCTCAGGACAACCCGGAGGTAAGCGTAATGGTTTTTGTATGAAATATATCTGTATAGTAGTTTAAGAAATCCACTATTCCCGTGCTCAATATTTGTATAATATGACCTGACCATTCTTTGGTTTTTACTCTCGTTATCATTTTTAATGAGCTCTTTATTACAGAAGAAATTTTGTCACAATTTATCACTGCTTTTTAGGTACTATTTCGGGTTGGGAGAAAGCAAATTTAAACGATTTTATATGCAAGTAATATAAAATTCTGAATCAACTGGCTCATGTGACAGGTTGTTTCGGCTTTCTTCGGTGGAGATCACTCGATATCGCCCAATGGTGTATCGCTAGTTGGGCGTAGTAATCAAACAGAGGCCAGCGTGTTACAAGATATGATGCACCTCAGCAGGCAGTTACTCTGCGATATTGTTCACGCTATTCTAGTGAACCCATCATCACGGGCGATTATGCTTTCATGGCTAGTATCCGTCGTGAAAGCGAATGATAAACGATCTCAATTACGCCCTGATGATATGGTCGTGGCGACAGATGGCTTCATGATCAATCTTATGGTCGTAATGCAACAATTAAGCCTCAAAGTCCGCGCTGATAAGGTACGCCCTAATAATCGATGTATATACATATAGAATAGAACAATGAAACGTTTTGACAAGTTTACAAGGATTATTCTTACCGGTTTGTTCGTTTTTATGCTATACAGTTTGTTAGGAATTTGGGCTAGTCGAATACGTAGAGCCTAGTTTCATAATTAGAAATTGTCCTCTCTTATATAGTATTACTATTCTACTAGTATTACTATATAGTTCCGTTTGTGTCAAGCATACGAGTAGCTTGTATCGTTACTATCAATTTTATCATAGGTGGACCCGTACTATTTGTTCCACCCGACCAGTCAGCTGGGCGAGCACCAGTATAGCGTCAGCAAGGACACGTGCCTTCGAATGACAGAACAGGAGTTGATTGAATTTCGGGCCGAGCTTAAGGCTAATCCGTCGTGGCAACAAAAGGAGACGAAGTTCACAACTGAATGTATGTTTCTTAGCGTTTACGTCCACCATCTCTCCATCGTTCCGTGTGTTCAACGATACGTACGACGGTTACGCTATATTCGTGAGCTGCAACGTGCTGTCACTGAGTTGGAAGGAACCGAAAGCCTATGGAAAGTTATCCCTCACCTAAACAATCAAAACAGTCGGAGCTTAGCAAAATGGCGCAGTCAACTTAAGAAACTGCACATCAGTAAACAGTCAGCTGATGTGGTCCTCTTTGACCGGTCGTTGGTACTACGTTGTCTCGACTTCTACGACAATCTCGCTCAGCTTCTTCTGCATATACTAGGCACGCCCGTTACGCAAACAAGCAGTAGCAGTATGATACCGCCTGTGTCAAAGCTGTTCTCCGCGATGCCCGCCTGGTTTATCGAAGACATTGCCGACTTCATTCTGTTTGTCATCCAGCATAAGCCTCGATACGTCAGCGAATTGAATTCGGCGGCTTTGGTACACCTTCTCGTGTTGCTTGTATGCGCCCCACACTATGTTTCGAACCCTTATCTGACAGCGAAACTTATCGAAGTTATGTTCCTGCTGTCGCCAGGCGTTCAGAAGTTCACCGAAAAGCTCTACCTGCAGATTCGGACAAATCCGATTGCGGAACAGCATCTGATCGTGTCTCTAATGAAATTTTATGCCGATATCGAAACGACGGGCGCATCGAGCGAGTTCTATGATAAGTTTACGATTCGCTACCACACTTCCATCGTGTTCAAGTTGTTATGGGAAAACCAGAATCATCGACACCAGGTGATCGAGGAATCATCAAACGGGAAACAATTTGTCAAGTATGATCCATTATACGTTTTGAAATCGAAACTGAAAGTATAAAATTGTTTTCCGATTTTTCTTGATATTCGGTTTATTCAATTTAAGCTTTTATTTTCTGCTTTTACTTTTATGACCATGTGTTCATCCTGCAGATTTATTAACATGCTCATGAACGACACGACGTTTCTACTTGACGAAAGCCTACAGTCATTGAAAAGAATTCACGAGCTGCAGGAAGCGATGAAGGATCAGGCAGCGTGGACTTCCCAGCCACGTGAAGTTCAACAGTCACGGGCCGCGCAACTTGCCACGGATGAACGGCAGTGTCGATCCTATCTGACTTTGGCGCGAGAGAGCGTCGACATGCTGCATTATCTCAGCCAGGACATCAAGGAGCCGTTCACAAGGCCCGAGCTTGCTGACCGTTTGGCAGCAATGCTCAACTTCAATTTGCAACAGCTGTGCGGGCCTAAGTGTAAGAATCTCAAGGTTAAAAATGGCGATAAATATGGCTGGGAACCGCGCCGACTACTAAATCAGTTGGTTGATATCTACCTGCATCTTGACTGTGATAAGTTCGAGCAGGCCATCGCTAACGATGAACGCTCATACAGGTAGGTAGCTGTTCCCTGCTTTAGGCAAACTGTTCGATCAATCAAACTCATTTATTCATTTCTGTTTTCGTTTAAACACTTTATTCAACCAGATAAATAAACTGATGATAGTAACTTGGCACAATAAATCTAAACGTATTCTTCGGTTTGTTAGCGAGCCAGGCTATCAGATAAGTATTGTCTTACCTAATTCAATGTTATGTGGTATAGTGTGTCAAAGCTATTTTCCACAGGAGGATTTGTATGGAGTTTTAGGTGGCCTGATGGCTCGCAGGGTTTGCTGTTCACTGCATAATCTATTTACATATATCCAGCTCCTCTAGGTGACAACTGAAACACATATTCATCTAGGCTATATATACGATTTAGATACATACAGCGTGTAGCCTTGTGCAGGTGTCTACGTAGAAGACGTGTACTTTCAAATTAGTTTCTTATATTAATCTTGCAGGCCTGAACTTTTCGAAGATGCAGTGTCAAGAATCAACAAGGCGATGCTTAAGAGTGATAGTCAAATCAAGCAGTTCCAGGACCTAGCGGCTCGCGTCCACCGGGTGCTCAAGGTGATTATGATAATAAATCTATTAGACTTATCGTGTTAAGACATTGATTATATTTCAACCAAGATTTTTTATATGCTCATTACGTAACTAATACACTCTCATTCAGGAACGACGTGAGATAGACTTCTCCGACGCTCCCGAAGAGTTCCGCGACCCGCTCATGGACACACTTATGGAGGATCCTGTATTGTTGCCGTCTGGCCACACCATCGATCGAGCCACCATCGTGCGACACCTACTTAACTCTGCTACGGACCCCTTCAACCGGCAACCTCTTCAGGAGGACATGCTTACCTCAGGTAGGTAGCTGTTCTAAAACGTAGATAGTTCTCGATTTGTCGTATTATCTTCACTGAGCCTTAATTAACGTTCGTTCTAGTTCGTTATCATTATTATGCACTAGGAAGATGGTGACAGTCACCTTATTTATGTGCGTAACATTGACCAAGTTATATATCTTCTATATTTTCAGGGCAAGAGGATTGGAGCGTTATATTTCTTCATTTTCCTATTGCTGTATAAGTATAGTTGTATTTTCTTCAGCTTTAAACGCTGCCATATACTTGTATTAACACTGAATATAAGACCTATGCTTCATTTCAGCTACGGATCTCAAGGCAAAGATCATGGAGTGGAAAGCACAAAAATATCAAGCAGCAAGAAGCAGCGCGAGTGCATCTCACAAAATAGGCTGTGAAACTTGTCCAATGGAGAAGAAATCGAATAATGACGGAACAGGAGCCGGGCCCTCAAGTGGGCAATCTTAGATCGCTCAGAGGATTACCCCCAGAGTAAAACTGGAAATAATTGATGAGGGACGACCTAGCCAACAACAAGGAGACACCGTCACTATAATTAATAGGGCAACAAACGAATGAAGCACAAATGCTGCTTGTGAAAAAAACTTCTTCGAATTTCGTCTGCTTACAAACGTGATGGGATGACGAAGCGACACACGAAGAAACACCTGACGCAAACAAGCAACAAAAAACAAAACCCAAGTATGCGTACATATATATATTATATATAATATATATATATATATATATATATATATATATATATTATATATAAGACTCAGTCACGTGTGAATATACTGCTATTATATAGAAAAAGATACAGTAAATATATTACGTTAAAGCGTTTACATGGAAAATGACCGGACTATCCACCCGCAGAGATCACATGGCAGTAAGGTCTTGTAAATTGATCCTTTTCATAATTATAGTACGCGTTTTTTCAGTTTTTTACTTTCTACACGACATTGTAAGTCTGTCATATAAGCAGGGCCTGTAAGTACTCTAATAGACTGCGTACATACATTCGTTTGTCCCAATGTTTGTGTACGTATTTGTAGGCACAATGCGAGAGGTTCGTAGAAACTGACAACCATCTTCCACTTTCTACAGCGCTTGATTAATTTCAAATGAACTTGAGCTTCACCGTAACAGAAAAGTGGCTAAAAACGTATTTCACATTATGCTTCTATTGTTTGACAACGGGGCAAATCTTGACCAAAGCAGGTAATAGCCCAGCGCTCTGCTATTTCTGAGTACGCGTCCGCTAAAGCAAGAGCCCATTGTATCAAGTGCAGTTAACATGTCAGAATAGGGCAAAATCCGCAACATGTGTTACACACATGGTAAAAGCCGCCGACAGGGAAACGATATCCAACAAGGGATGCATCGAATTTTGTAGTTTCCTGCTTAGCTAGGGGTACGTGCTAGACAATATATCGAAAGGATCGATACAGGCAATGCTTGTGGATTGGTTCCAATTAGAATTCAATCGAATTATTGAAGACTGTAGGTAATCTACCTATACAATATGAAGCTAATTGAATGGCTCTAAGATAGTAAGTTGTCATAGCTTGCTTTGTTCTGTCAAGCGGTCGATTCGCTAAGCCTAATTCCCGGTAACAGTTGAACGGCCAACTGAGATAGCCATGCTCAAGAAACACGCTTTGCAGACAAACCCTATAGAGTCACGCACACTGCACTTTGCTAATTATTCCATTAGCAACTCGAAATTATGGCCGAGATCGGGGATGAACAAGGTGCTTTCTAGATTTGTTTTTGCGTAACGTCAACGAGTAGAGAGTTTTACATGGCTATCAATGTATCAATGGGTGGGACTACCAAGGCTGAATTACGACGGATGATGAATTTATAGAAATAGGTTATACGGTGCTGCATTTCGCAACCTGACATAGTCTACGTATGAGTGATATGAGAATTTTGTTAACGAGTGGGTGATTTTATCTGAGGTAAGGGTAGCCAAGTATGCGCCCCTTCTCGGCTCGGCGATAAGTGACAACAAATGGACTAGAAGTTTTTACGTTGACAGATTGAGTATGAAATTCATCATACAGTGCTTAACAATTTTTATCAATGGCAAATTTTTGTCAAACTCATAATTTAACCTTGACCCCCGTTCGTGAGTTACAGGCAAATGCAAACAGATTCAGACGGCCCTTATTAGAAATGCTTGGATAACAACACATCATTTTTCGCCTTCAGATAACAATACGGATTAAAATATTTCAATTAAAATAGGTCTCGATTCTCATCTCGAAAGTGCGAGCACTCTCGTTAGAATCACATTGAAGGCATATCGACATGACTTCGACCCAGCGTTTACGAGAAAACCACTCCGGTTTTTTCTTCAGGCCAAATTAACAGGCAAACTCTTGATACTGGACGAAATGGTTCGTAAGTCAAGAATCAGAGAAAATGATAAATGGACGTGGCGTGATAGGGAGTGATCAACAGTGTATATGAACATGATGGATGCGAGTGTGAACCACAATATTATGACTGATGACAGTTTTATAAATTATACCACGACCGACCGACCGACCAGCCGGAGTCTGTACAAAAAACTAGGAATGATTTATAAAACAGCTGAAGCTGAAACAATGTAGGTGTAAATAAACGATACATGTTTTGCACTTAGCTCACTATATCTGTCTTTATTTAATGCATTTGTATATTATACATAGTGTATATCATTACAGTTACAAGTCTATGTATTAATGTACCATCGTCCAAAAATTTTCAATGAGAACAGTTGATAAAAAGCCGCAAGGATGCTCAACTTATTGAGAGCATTTATCTCTTGTTTATAGATGCAATAAACAATTGAGCTATTCAATGAAAACTGCGTAACCGTAAACCCTTAGTAACTCAATCATTTTCTGTGAGACGTAGCTATAAAAGAAAATGCCACTGAAATATAAACGGCATCTATTTAAATCTATTTTGCCTTTTTATTAACAAGACGAATGTCCTTTTTCACTGGACGTCTCAGGCAGCGAAAATCTATAGTTGTTGGCGCTAAGTTTGGAGCTTCTCTAATACGATGTCAGGGGCATCTCGAACGGATGAATGTGGCGATCCTTAGGCGTATCGCATGATCCTGCCCAGCGAACCCAGACGCGCTCTGAACGTCTGCACGAATCCACTCGTAACCGACAATGAGAAGTAAACGTCGAGTTGTTGGAACCACACACCTACATATATGAAAGTGATAAGTTAAAAGATCAATATCGACGTATTGATATTGCAATGCTACGTAGCATATTTCCACTGATAATAGCATCTATCTATAAATAATGTGACCATTTGTTGAGCGGTACGCATTCAGTTAACAAAAATAAACACAATGCAAATATGCTCACCGGACGTGCGTTCGGATCATACGGGCACGAGTCAGGACATCTGCAAGAGGCCTGGCCTTGGTGTTCGTGACACTCCTGATTGTTTGGGCAATATTTGGTTTCGCACGGCACTGAAAGCCACAGGTGGATCATCTGGTAGGTTTAGAAGGTCTAGAAGCAAAAAGAACACGCTTGTGTGCGCCGCTGTAACATATTTTCTTAATGGCATAGTTACAGTTGTGCAGTCCAGTTGTTATTAACTTATATCGTAGGTAACTTTTTATCGAACAACAAATACGTTGTAGACGGTTAACCTGCTTTTAATCTGATGCGAAAGCCCAATGATTCAAAAAGGCTTTCGTATTTTGATTTTTTACAGCTTCAGGAGTGTTTGAGTACGTTACTCGGTTATTCTTTTAATGTAGCAGACAACAATAATGGATGCGGTTCCAAAAAGATTAGGCGCAAACGTTAAGGTGATGAACTCGTTTAGGAACTTACGGTCGCTAACGGTAGGTCGACGCGGTGGCAGTTGTGCAGCAATAGCTGCATTTAACCGATCGATATGGTCGAGAGTCACTGTAAGTGGAGGTCTCACCGATACCATGACGCCGGGCCGCACTGAGTTTAAAAAGAAGTAGCGGATATCACCAATACGCAAGAGCTCACATTCGGCATGGAGACCCTGGCAAAGTATCATAAAGGTAAGTGCGAAAAAAAAAATTTGAAATAGAGAAATTTCAAACCGAGCAAAACTTCATATTTACTGATTAATTGTTAGAATAGACGAATCCAAGGTGATTACATTTTACTAAAATAAACAAGCCATCTTAGACTCATCAGTGATGTCTTGGTTTTCGAGCACCGACGTCTGAAAGCGTTGCCAATGTACATGGCCCCTCAGACACAGCGCGCGTATATCCTACTGCCATTGCACCACTTTGCTATCCGGCTTGCGCGAGTATTACGGTTATCGGCTTGAGAAAGAGCTTAAAAACGGTAATATAATATATACGAATCTCCTTTTAATTTTTCCTACATGCCTTGACAATCATGATGGAGCCTGCAAGGTCCGAACTGCCTTTCATAACCCGGCGGATAGCCACCTGAACGGAATTCTCATCCTGAACGCTGAAAGTTTTAGGGATGATTATCAAGAGAAGATCGGTTGCACGCATGCGCATCTCATGTTCTATATACGTATGCATGAAACGTTTTTAAAACAACGGTTCGTATTTGAAAAAAAAAACAAAGAAAAATACAAAAGCGCAGAATAAAGTCGCACCTAAATGGTAGTGTCAGTTTTTTTAAACATTGCCATTTAAAGTTCCTCTTACCGGTCAACAGTCGCTGACACGATTACCTTGGAGGCTTTTTCCGCAGTTGCAATGTCCAGTCCGTTACAAAGATTCTCAGAACTTCCTGATGAACTTTGTGGCGAAACACTCATAGCACTCAAGGCGACGACCAGCGTCACGCTAAAGTGATACATACCTGCCGCGATAGAATTAAGTTTTATGATAGTTCTTGTATTTATACAGATCTATAGATATCGGCAATCCTCTACAGCGTGTCATTCGGTGTTTTTTCGTGTTCCATTTTCGTGTTCCTTTAAGGAGTATTGTTTTGAAAGATCTATGCAGATGGTGATAAACTTTGATCTCTTTAAGGCCTTTGTCTTATAGAATAGGAACATTTCAACTTCGTTTCAATTTAAATTGCAACTCAATCTTACTATTCTATCTAGCAGCCAAATTTTCATTTGAGAATAGTCTAAGACAGTCTGTATGTATTAAGAAACCAGTTGCGCTCAAACAAAGCCCGTTACCAAACAAACACCATTACATTGGGACAAACAAAATGTTGTTACTGTGTATATTTATATTAACTATTTTTGGGAACTGGGGTACGTTAACGTTGATCATACTCACTGAAATTCGGTGATAAAATATCCATTCTTATACTCACAAACTTAGCACAAGTTTTAAACGAACTGTAGATATATCGAACACAATTATGTAGATAACAACTTGATACAATGGGGGTTATCCTGCCGTACAAGGTGTGTACGCCAAACTCAAAGGCACAACATAGTATTATTCACAGATTAACTATGTTCACAGTCTAGGTCCTTTTTTCCTGTGTTTAAACCAACGGATTGTCGAGCAGAGCAGGCTTACGTCGAATCTGGCCCAGCAGCAGCAGCTGACTAGCGATTGCGTAGGAGGCATTTGCGCCAAACATGGCGAAAAGCGAATACTCGCCACACGGCACAGCCCATGTTGACGATACGAAGAGCTGCCTTTAGTTCTTCGATGGCGCTGAAAAAAGGCGGCTCCACCCAATCGGCAGTAGCCCTCGGATTCATCGTTGATGTCCTTCATCTAGCCTGCTTTTCGGGTAACCTACCCCAAAGGTACATACAAATGGACGTAAACTACCAGGCCGATATCTACACGTTTTCGTAGCAACTTTCTGAATAACTTGCTCATTACCACGAAATGAAGTGGCATCAAAGACAAGTGCGTGTATTTATATGGGCACCTTCAATAGTAATATGGATCGAAATGTCCCGTTGCTCTCCTATTATACGTTGTGTTCAACAGCTTAGTCATCCATGCAATACAAGTTATTATTGCCCATTAGTGTGTAGCAGTTATGAATTTCTAAACCAAAGCGATACATGAAGAAAACGCTTGCGTACGAAAAATATCGTCGAGACAAAATCAGCAGCAGTAGACAGGTGAGACCGTCGAACCCGTTCCCGCTATCGAATACTGTGTAAGCTATAGATGTTCAACGTGCTCGCCGTGCCCATTACATCGTAGCACCATAATGTAGCGCTAAACCTACGATTCATTTTTAATACATTAATTTCATCAGCGAAAAATTATGTGTTTGCGATAGGAAAAGGGATGTGCTATATGGACAGCACACATGTGCAATACCTTTGCTTCGATATGATTTGCTTTGGGTTAATTGTCATCTATATAACGGTTAAGAATCTCAAAAGAAACCCGACGCCCAGATCTAGGCATTTACGAGGCTAGGTCATGGTAGACATATTATAGCAAACAATTAAAACAATCATAGAGTCCGCCCCCAAAGGAAGACACTATTTTCCCATCGAGCGACTATTACAGGCAGATAGACTAGACACAACTGTACGCCTCGTTGGCTAAGCTGTCGGTCCTGATTTGGTATAGAAATAATGACAACGCTCTAGTTGCTGACAATTTTGTGTTTCGTTTCTGTTACGGGTACTTGAAATCACTAGTCCCAGATAGCTAGACTTGGATCAGGGTGGCCGACAAAACCTGCTTTGCCTCAGGCTCTTGTGAGTAGCCGGCAATAAATGATATTTCAAATGCATCGTAGGATGCGTCTAGCGTGCTAAGTTTCGAAAGCTTTTCTGGTCCTGGCTGAAAGCTGCTCGAAACAGTTGTAGCGCAGTGTGCTGCCAGTGGGGGATTTCCTATGTTAGCAAGATGGCCTTACCGGGACACTGCAGCATAGGACCGTTTAAGCGGTGAAACGTCCGTGTCGTTAGGATTTCGAACTGTCTCCGCAGCCTCCACTGCGCAAACACTAGAGCCGCTTCTGTGAAGGTATCGAAGAGCTGAGCGAAAACTCTTCGAAAGCGGAAGTGGCACGTGGATCCGATTTGAAATTTGAATTGTAGCGGGGCAAAGGAACGGTGTCGACTTCTGTCGCTTGTTTTTGTGAACTGGGTGTAACCCACATAAATGTTGATATAGCTACGGATGAAAAAAACAAGATTGTTCCCTGCGCTCTTGCTCGATGGACATCAAGCTCCGGCGCCTGACTACTTCAGTCTATTCACTATTATTTATGACGATTCGATCCAGTCCGGCGATCCTGAGTAGACCGACTCAGAAAACATTTATATGGCGGATACTTTTAATTTATCTAAAAGTCGTTTGAATAGCTATCTGGATACATTCAAATGCATGTTAAACGTTCAGTTCCCAGGTATGGATTTGTCTGCTTTTTGAGGAGTAAACCGCACAAAGGCACTGACAACACCAGGTATTGCCTTCGTGAAGGATGGTATTCTATCCTACGAAAATTTCAGTAGTCAGCCTAAAATCACGTAGCCATAATCTCCCTGAATAGGATAAAGCTGCGTTTTATTGGAAATGTAAACTTGGTATAACCAATGTTCTATTGTGGCCCCTCAGAAGCATCGGTAATGGAACATATGACTCTGTTTTTACCTTGAGACTTCCTGGTTGGATTGTGGTTGTCTTTCACTCGGTGGAAAACGTGGCAGACGGACAAATGTCAAGTTCAGATAATTTTGTACACTAGAATACTAAAATTATTTGTTACTTTCGTGCTGGTTTCTTCTAAGAAGTGGCATAAAAAGATGAAGGGCATTTGCTTGAACTATGCTTGAAATCACGCGGGTTTGAGATCGAATCTTATACGTATACTGCCGCCATCATGGAGACAAACACAACTTATAAATGTCAGATGAGCCTAAACTCCCTAGGAAAAATGCCTAATGACTTTTACAACGCTTGAAATGACTACTGACTGAGACCTACCGAACAAAACAATTTTACTTTTAATTACCATTGTCATTATTACTATCGTTGCAACTTTGAATGTGTTAAAAAATCGTCCCCCCAGGGGCTAAGTTAAATCCTCTCTTATGAGAAGTCGTGTCGTCCGTTAAGACAATTATAGTTTTCTTTTCACTCAATATGGGTAAAGCACTTTAAAATTTTACTTCAAAGATACTTTAAGTAAACAATATCCGGGAAAAAATTGATGGATGGCCACTTTATCGTAAAACATCGGTAATCTCGATATATAATTGTCTACTTTAGCAGACAAAAAATATGCAGCATCTGGCATGATATGGCAAGGCGCCATATACTTGATCCTCTGAACGTCTCTTACAATATTTCTTATTAAAATGCTAGAGACGTTTGTATATGGTCGTCGAAGACTGGTAGAGTTGGCAGTTACGGGATGCCAACCGTGCTTTTGCTGTTACTCGTAATTCGAATACGTTTCAATTCAAAGACGTAACATTATCTAGGAGCAGAATCAGAAGATGAAATTTATATGCTCTTAATGTTACAGTAGATAGATAAGGTAGAAATATGAGTAAACATAGCTATAAAAATAAAGCTAAACTGCCAATTGCGTCGATTTCAAGGTTGATTAGGTACTAGAAATGGTAATGCAGGGCTATTTTTATTATTAAAAAATTATTAATCGATTTGATAAAGCAAAGCTGCAGCGTCTTTTTGGGCTATTCAAACTTTAGGACGCCTGTTGAAACAAGAGGGGGGTGTGGTATAGATGCTAATGCGCATCTCTATCGGTGTGGCATCATGGTAACTGTGAGAGTGTAGCCATGGCTGACTTAAACCGCATCGTTTGCAAAACGTTACTGCGGCATCTTGTTCTTCATTGATCTGTTGAAGGAAGGCTCTGCTCGGTAAGACCCGTCTGAAATAATACCTTATAGCTTAAATACCAAACGTAAAAGAGCTTTGACACGTATTGTCTAAAATTTGTCCTTGAAGCAATGCAATGAACACATTGTTTGTCAGTTATTTTTTTTATCAGCGTAGGAAGTGAAGTCAGGACATACACTTCAATTGCTTGAAACTATTCGTGAAGACTATTTCTTTTTTGCGCAACAGTACCTCACTTTGTTCAAGCATGTACACCATATATATATATATATATATATATATATAGGATGGGCATGCTTCACTACAGGGAGGGGGCGAGGAAATAGGTGACGAGATCTCGCTGATATGCAAAAGGAACGTTATCTACGAGGGGTTAACACGAATCCAACTTAAATAGGAATGCTCGATCGCTTCACTTGAGTTCTTGCACAGTTTGACATCGTCGCTTTAGCAAGTTATAACTCGCTAAATGACGCTAAGTTTCGAGCATTGCCCGAACTAGTGACTTCTCCGAAAAGTATCTTCGCACAGTTCTCTGTATCTTCACTGATGCGCTAGATAGACATGGTAGCTTATTCTCACGCAAAAGAAGTTATGTAGGAATAGAGAACTTCGTAGATATAAACGGTGAAAACAATCACTTCAGGTGACACCGAGACGCTACTGCGCCGGTTCGCAACTCGGCGCCCTTTCTAGCGTTGTCGGGATCACAGATCTGATTAATAAAGAGTTTCGAGTCGTTATGCTGTAATTTACGACAAAACGGAGGAATCAGGGAGATATTGGAGAGAAAGAGCGCATATTGTCAAAGACCTGCTGGATCGTCTTGGGATAGAGTAACAAAACATACATTTCTATCGCGTCAACTATAAGAAGTACAGCATGCTTAAATCATAGTACCAATAGACCGATATTATATTCATACATGAGAAGATATGATAAGATTGTAACAGTTATCAGAGTGTAACTAGTTTATTACCAACGACAAGTTTTAAGTGTCTCTAATTATGTCTATAGTGTTTACAGGCGTCCACTTTATCGCTGCGTTGACGGGGTAGATTGAATTTCATAGGATTCTACAACATAGAAATTACTTCTTGGCAAAAGAAGTTTAAAAAAAAATCATGGCATAAACATTTCGACTCTAAATAGACCCTTACTCAGCTGGTGGTCTAATGAAGGCGCCTATTCGAAAACAAAGTACACCTACTTACACTGTATTAGAAAAAAAAACATAGTTAGCTGAAAAATTAATTATCGGAGCTATATAGACTATAGTTTCAGCAGTTTTCAGATAATGTTATGTATTGTATTATCAGATAATGTTATTATGTAATGATAATAACTTGAAATGCGTTACGTACCTTCCTGGACCTAATATATAAGGGGAAATCATTTGAAAGAAACAAATATATACTTGCCACTTAGTAATGTGACCCTTTTCTCAAGAAGCAGACCTCTATATCTACTTGTTCCCTTAACAATTAGTGTCCTGTATTTATTTATGTTTTACTAAAATACGTTCGCTCGATGAGGATCTTAAGCAGAGAACAGATATCGTGCCCGCGCTACTGAAGATTGTGTTGACGATAACGCGACCACCGCGCTGAATATCTACCGTTGCTAGGAATAACAGTCCCAATGTACGTTCTTAAATCCTTCAGTCTGCTTTGCTCACGAGCGCCGTCTGCTGTCTCCTGCAGGTGGTATATCAATAGACGAGATTTTGTTTGAGAATTTCAACGGCGCCGCCACAACCGCCAACATTTAAAAGCCCGCGGTCGATGTACAATGTCCCTTCTTCGTATAAGGATAACACTTATTTAGGCGTTATCAGAAAAGGGATCTCTGACGAAGTCGGCGGTACAATGTGCCTACAGAGGTCAGTGCGAAACTGATGCGGCACTCATAACTTGGAAGCTGGCTAGGGCAGTGTTGTCATCTTCTGCATATTTCGCAGAGTCGGACGAGCATAAGGCTTCTAAAAATATAATCATTGCATTGTTTAGCTGTCCTGCCTAAATCTAAAAGACCGCTAATTAAGCTACCAAGGAACATGGCTATTTTATAGCAAATATTGTATTTGTTAACTATTTCATCATGGGAAATAAGTTTGCTTTGTGAATAATTTCCTACTTCGTGTGTTTCACATGATTAGTCAGCACTCGAGTCAAGCTCCAGAAATTTGCCGACAAAATTACTTCGAACCATACAAAGCTACCGGAAGGATTCAGTTTAGACATATCAAATGCACAAAACACTCACAAAATTCTTAGCAATTGTTCGA